AGTGTATTTGAATGAAGTACCGGTATCTGGTCTTATTGGAAACTTGTTGACACAAAGAAATTAAATACAAGTATGTATCCCATCAAACAAGATACGGTACATTGCAGGTACATCCAAAGCTAAGTCTATCAGATCCGAACCAGCCAGCCAACCCCAGCAAGCTCGGTGGTCGAATGGTAAGACATCAGCACTAGTAAACAGGCGGTCGTGGGTTCGAGTCTGACATTATACATACAATGTATACACCGGTACATACATTAAACAGGTAGCTCTCGGACAGTACTGATACAGTGTAAACACAATACATGGACATTATGAGTTATCCCGTGAGCGCGAGTGGAACACGGAATAATGTAGGGCATCTGTGTACCACATACAGTGTACCACGAGGCTGAAGGCCGAGAGGTACATGCACATGTACCGGTATGTGGGACACAGACACACTACATTTTCCGTGTTCCACGAGCGCGAGCGTGATAACGAATTTATCTTCAAGCAAACTTAACGCGCAGTAAAGTTGGACCATCGCTTTATTTTACACGAACCTTTTAGCGGTTTAACCCTTACTCTCTGATGGTAGTTTACTGCATGTCAGTTGGTTATGCCAATGCCCTCCAGCTGCAGTTTATTGGCAGATAGTTTGTCTTAACAGTGAAGGCTCCAATTGGCAGGAGTTGGAGGCCCTGGAGGGTGCCTGATACTGACCAGCTGGGGGCACTCACTTTGTTATCAGAGGACTCTCATTGTTCTCTGTGGCATGTATTGGAGTGCCTGTCCAGTTACCCTTGAAATGACATGGCAGATATTGGAGGGCCGTGCAAAAAACATATGCTATTTTCTTAAGGCACATAATGGCATGCGTTGGAGGGTCCAGTTGGGTAAGGGTTAATTTAGTGCATGCAGCTGGGGAATGTCGCTCGCATCTTGGAATAGTGCAATACGCAGAGTGCGATATCGACCGTACAATACAGCCTCACATCACACTGTTGTTGCCATGGATCGACCAATCAGGAATTTCAGGATTGAGGATTCAAGTTTGCTTGAAGATTAGTAGTGATGTATGCGTTTCAACCCTGAAGGGGAACATGGTGCTTGTGTTAGGCAAATGATACATTTAACTACAATTACCTAGATGTACCGGTATCTTCACCGAGGAGTGTAAATGGGTACCTGTGAATTACCGGCACGTACAGACCAAATTGGACAGATCTCGAGCTGCAGCCTGCAGAAAAATAGTCTCATTCCTGATGAACAGGAAAAATAATTATAAAGCGCTTTAAAACCTTACAAGTACCGGGTAGGCATGAAGCTCAATATAAGCACCCCATTATTATTATAAATAGTACCGGTAGATGACATTACAAAACATTACATTGAGAGTTGAGACTTCAACTGAGAAGTGCCTCAAGATCTCACATGAGATGCTTACAAAGTCACAAGCTTTGTTTTTGTTTTGTTTTGTTTAGGGGGGTGGGAGGAGCTAGTAAACAGCATGTACTGGTACACACTGTGTTTGAATTAAAAAAACAACTGAAATTTGTTTCAAACTGAAAGGATGTATTTATTTTAAACCCCAGGTAAACATGTGTATACTGACATTGTACATGTACCCGTACATGTAAGATTTTCATATTGAGCTTTGTCATTTACCGAACACTGACAAACATGTATACATATGTACCTGTATTCTATAAGCACTGTATTCAGCAATGCTAACAAGCCTTTTAAACAAAACCTACAAATCAAAAGTAAAAATCAAATACATTTAGTTTCAGACACTTGAGTTGATTACACCAATAAAGCTACTAAAGTACATGTACCGGTAGATTCGTTTTTACATACTGTACATGTAAAATGTCACATAATGTACATGTATGTACACACTGTCTGCCACAATGTACATTTGTACAGTGACATTACTGTACAGGACATTATGTACAGCAGTGAACAGGTTGCGTGCATATTACAATATTTCATCATTGTCATAAACTTTAAAAAGGCATTTCAAACAGGTTTAGGCATTATTTGTATATTGTTATACACAGAGTACCGGTAGCAGTACCGGTACATGTACTGTCACAGTGCAGTTGTACATGATTATTGTAATTACAAGTACAGGTAGAATCCTGGGCTAACTCAACAATTAAACCAATTATGTTTAAAAAAGGGGGGATGCATGGGGGGTGTGCTGCAGTGTCGGTCCGTGGGCAATTCAACTTCTATTTAAGGGCTTACATGTACTACATGTACATCAGGTAAGCACTAACGGTACTACTTCATGATCAGTTGATAACACTACTGGAGTTTGTAATAGCGCCCTCTGTTGACCAAACTCATGTTCAGACTTGATATTTACAATGTACAGTACAGGCATGCACATTAAGAGTACATACCGGTAGTATAAAAATGGTAAATACTGGAACAATAAACATTAAGTTTTTAACAGATGCCATACCGGTAGATCTACACAAATGTGCCTTAATGTAAATAAACATAACATTTTACCAATTGACCTTAAAAAAACCCCACAGTTTTTGAATAAACTTGTGATGAAGTTTACCAACTACATGTACATTTAAGAAAAAAATGATATTTTCCATGTTCCACGAGCGTAAGTGCGATTGTAACAAGTATATCTTCAAGCAAACTTTAATCACAGTAAGATGGAATACGCACTGTGTGCTGTACGGCGGTTTTCCTTTTAAACATTTTCCTATTGCAGCTCGATTGGCGCGGTTAATACGTGGTGTGCGGTACAGACCGTGCTACATGTACATGGGATAATGTAGCGCGGTTTGTTGCCATGGATCGACCAATCAGCATCGAGGATTGAGGTTTGCTATACACCATGTTCGCTGGTCCAGGTGTCGATTCACTGGTACTGGTAGTACACTTGTGAATTTAGACTTAATGTACACGTACATGTACATAAGTCTACTATGGCCCCAAATTTTTACTCCGATGAATACATACATGTACCGGTACATGTACATTTGCATGGTCCCTTAATTAATTAACCAAATTGTATGGGACCTGATTCATGAACTGGGCTTGCTAATCTTGCACACTAAATATACGTGTGCATACGGATGTACATAATTGACATAAACACTTACAGGACTTTTCACTTTAATGTGAAAGTAAACAGTGCACAAATAAAAAAATATTTTAAATCTGTAAATAATTTACAGTGTACAAGTTAATACAAGTACCATGATGATGACAATATCAATGGAAATGATGGCCGACCAGATCAGAACTCTAAACATGCTGTGTAGCTTATATCAGTGAGGCACGTTGTGTGCACAGACAATGGACGGTTTTGTCAGCATTTCAAATTTTGTAACTACTAATTTTTCTATGGGGAAAATGGATGTGTCACTTTCTTTTCTGCACATACATGTACATGCATACATGTATGTAAGTTCTCTTCTCATAATAATAAAAAGCATGCATGCACTTTTTTTTTTGGTTAGGAACATAAAGCAATGAATTTGATGGGCGCAATTGGTGGATTTGTGCTTTCAATCGATCATGCAGAAAACTGTTTGCGGTTGATCCTAACTTATACTTGACTTTCCTTTTTCAAGACAATCCTCCAGAACCATGGATTACAAAAGATGATTGACCGATGGCAGCGCGATAGACCAATGGCAGTGCCATTGACCGATGTCAGCGCGATCGACCGATGGTAGCGCGATCGACCGATGGTAGCGCGATCGACCGATGGTAGCGCGATTGACCGATGTCAGTGCGATTTACCAAGGGTAGCGGGATCGACCAATTGCTATGAGTCAACCCATGGCGTTGTGATTGACCGATAGCAGTGCAATCCACCAAATGGCAGTGCAATTGGCAGCATGATCAACCGATGGCTATGCGATCAAATGGATCAACCGATGGCTGTGATTGACCGATGGCAGCACCATCGACCAATGGCAGCACCATCGACCAATGGCAGCACCATCGACCGATGGCAGCACCATGGACCGAAGGCAGCACGATCGACCAGTGGCAGCACCATCGACCGATGGTAGCAACATGGACCGATGGCAGCACCATCGACCGATGGCAGCACGATCGACCGATGGCAGCACGATCGATCGATGGTAGCACGATTGATTGATGGCAGCATGATCAACTGATAGCAGTGCAATCGACCGATGGCAGCACGATATTCATCAGTCAATCGTCTGATCGGCTAATGGCAGCAAGATTGACCGATGGCAGCATGATCGATGGCAGCCCGTTCGACCAATGGCAGCACCATCGACCAATGGCAGCACCATGGACTGAAGGCAGCATGATCGACCAGTGGCAGCAACATCGACCGATGGTAGCAACATGGACCGATGGCAGCACCAGCGACCGATGGTAGCAACATCGACCGATGGCAGCACCATCGACCGATGGCAGCACCATCGACCGATGGCAGCACGATCGACCAGTGGCAGCACCATCGACCGATGGCAGCACGATCGACCGATGGCAGCACGATCGACCGATGGTAGCACGATTGATTGATGGCAGCATGATCGCCTGATGGCAGTGCAATCGACCGATGGCAGCACGATATTCATCAGTCAATCGTCTGATCGACTAATGGCAGCAAGATTGACCGATGGCAGCATGATCGATGGCAGCCCGTTCGACCACTGGCTATGTGACTGACCGATGGCAGCACGATCAACCGATGGCAGTACGATCAACTGATCGCACCAACATCAACCGACGACAGCGCGGTCAACCAATGGCTATGCGATTGACCGATGGCTATGTGATCAACCTTTGGCAGCGCGATCGACCCATGGCAGCAGGATAGACCAACGGCTATGCGATCGACCAATGGCTATATGTGATCAACCTTTGGCAGCACAATCAATAGATAGCACAGCACGATCGACCGCTATATCGCAGCACGATAGACCAATATCGCGACACAGTAGGACGATACAATGATCGCAGATCAAATGATCGCGCCAAGCAAATGTACTCAGTACCTTATAGACTGGATTCATGATGACCTCATCCACAGAGCATACGCAGGTGGTGATGTCAGAGCTTGGGCTTGGCTTATTTGGAGGCTGTGCGAATTACTCAATGTTACCTTCCCATAGTCTCCATATACATCTGACCAGGTTGAGAAAAGTACTGCATCACAAAAAGAAAACAAAAACACAATAGCAAAACAATGATTATAAAGAATTTTGTCACTTACTGAGTATTTAAGAATCAATAGTGATACTTTACAGAGACTGTATTAGGGCAATTTCCAATAATTCAGATTTTGGAATTACCGGTACATGTCAGACACTTTAAATGAGCTGCTGTTAGAAAAGTGAGGGGGGGGGGGGGAAGAGGGAAAGACTGTTGCAACCTGACGCTACTTCAGCGGTTGTGTACAAAGTCTATGGAGAGTCAAGAAAATTTTCGCTCTGTGAAGTGCCCGGATGCAATACGCGACCGCGGATGAAGAGCGCACACAAGAGGGCGCGCTTCACTGCAGAGGGCTTCAAAGATTTTGGAATGACAGGCAACAGCCGCGGTGCGCTTTGCCAAAGTTGACACACGCTCAGTAGATGATTAAAGCTCTTGTTTGGTTCCCTGACCCCTCTGGCCTCTTGACTATCATTAGGGTGGCCGGGAAACATATCAGCGACGCCATGCTTGCTCAAATCCATTTGCATTCTTTGACGAATTACCATGATTTTTGGATAACTAGACCTCTGAAGGTACCGAATTTAACGATTTTGTGCTATTTAGCAGTCATACTATAGCTGGGTTGATTTTCTGCTGACAAAATAATTTCGATCTTTAATTAATTTTCGGCTCCCCTAGCAACGGGACGCTCCGCTCACAGGCCATACTTGACTATGTGACTGATATACGGAGGTAGTCCAGTATTTCAGTCACATTTATGGGACTAGTAAAGTGGTGAGCCAGTATGGAATTTTTCCCGAAAATATTCAAGTAGGCCTAGTTACACTTGGAAATTTTCAGACCAGTCTCATACATGTCATATAGGGTTTGTGCAGAGGGTGACAAGTGATGGCCAGATATGGGAATCTTTCCAAGGTTTGGACTTTAATTGTAAACACCGCGCCGGCATGACTGGTTAACGTCTTAGGTCAGGATTAGCTGGAGTTACCCAGCCCTGAGTTTTATCATTGGGTTGTCTATTAGGGCTGGAGCGAATTTTTCTCGTAACTTGTAGTATAGGCAAAATTTTTTGGAAAATGTTCAATTTTGTCCCCGTTACACACTAATTGCAACTGCAACTCACCCCAAACTTGCCTGGAATAACCATTACACAGGTCCTTGAAGTAAAAACGATCCACGATGAAGATTCAGCCTACAATTGCAGTGAAAACAGGAGGAATAACCGCTAACTTGACAACCTTGCTGGATTGGCCAGGACCGCAATTGGTTTGTGCACAAAACAAATTGTGTACAATGAATGGCGGTCGATTAACAGGCACAGAGAGCGATCGCTGTCAACTACTCGTTTTTGCCGGCTGCGCTGGCTGTTGGCGCATGACGTCACGCGGAAGCGTAACACCCGATGACTGTTTCATGCACTAATATAAGGTTTACCAATCGCATAACAGCTTTGGTACTGGAACCGCAACCAATAGAATGAAACAGTCATCGGGTGTTACGCTTCCGCGTGACGTCATGCGCCAACAGCCAGCGCAGCCGGCAAAAACGAGTAGTTGACAGCGATCGCTCTCTGTGCCTGTTAATCGACCGCCATTCATTGTACACAATTTTTTTGTGCACAAACCAATTGCGGTCCTGGCCATGCCAGCAAGTTAGCGGTTATTCCTCCTGTTTTCACTGCAATTGTAGGCTGAATCTTCATCGTGGATCGTTTTTTACTTCAAGGACCTGTGTAATGGTTATTCCAGGCAAGTTTGGGGTGAGTTGCAGTTGCAATTAGTGTGTAACGGGGACAAAATTGAACATTTTCCAAAAAAATTTGCCTATACTACAAGTTACGAGAAAAATTCGCTTCAGCCCTAATAGTAATAGTAATAGACAACCCAATGATAAAACTCAGGGCTGGGTAACTCCAGCTCTAGGTCAGGATTACAAACTCAAAATCAAATGCCATTTGGGGGGGGGGCCTACTCAACTGAGCACTAGAACCACTACCATTTACTTATTCATGAGAAATCTTTACAGTTTCCTTTTTATTGTTAAACATATCTCATTGTTGATGAGATCATACTAGATGAGATGACTGGATTTCAACCGCTGCATGCAAGCACGTGCAGTGCAGTATGCCGGTCATGCCGCGCCGGTACTACGATACGTCATGTACGTAGCATTTCTTTAAGTTTATGTCAGTGCAGTGACGGAGTTAGAAAAGTGGAGATAACATTTTTTATTTTTCCTTCATCAACGTATTTTCAAACCAACCAAATCTACTCACTTGATCACCTGAATGCGTTGATGTTGTTGATGCTTTCTAGGATTAGTGTTTTACACGGGAAGAGTTATTTTTCTTGCTTGACTTTCTCATTGACTTTCAACGTCTCTGATGTCCATGCAGTTTCGTTGTGTGTGCACATATACGCATGTGGTCATATGGAGGTGAAAAATAGGACACTGGGTATCTATTTGTACGGTAACCTGTGAAACACGAAGACGTCATCAAATTGGGCCATAGGGAAGGGCGCCGCTTACGGTAGGTAGGTAAACGCGCCTGCCGCGGCTACGCAGAACATCGGGTGTAATGGGAGCGGGATTCATAAAAAAAAAGAAGTTAAAAAGACAAATACACCGAGAAATGACTTTAAAAAAAGGAATACATTAATGAACGAAATAAATCAATGAAAGCGGGATAAAGGTATGCCTGTCAGTGAAAATAGTAACATGTCTAGATTTAGCAATGCTTATCAATAATTATCAGAGAATACAATAACTAATTTGCTCATAACATGAATAGAATGTTTATGTGATCCCCTTCAATGTTTTGCCGGTATAAATATTCATATTACATTGTATTTGCATATTTTACATACAGTGTGATACATATTGTATACGTTTTAAAAATCTTTCTACATATTTTTTTCTGTCCTCTGTAATCAGTCTTTTTCCCTTTTTGTTGAATGAACTGCTACATAACTTTTAATTTTTGTTTTTGTGAATTTCTTTGTATTTTAAACTTAATTCAGATCAGCTTTAGGACTGTGATGCTTGAAGTTTTAATAAACCAATAATACTGTAATAATATAATGTGACGTTTTACATTACATTAAAAGCGCAGTGCATGTTAAAAAAAATCCAAAATCCTCAGAAAAATAATTTTAATTCATGAGTTTAACAACTAATTTACAAAATATTGTTTACTTTACAAAGAAAAATCCTGTTGAGAATATGCCAAAAACAACAATACACATGATGCCAAGTGCAAAGAATGAGGGGAAATTGAGTCACACCTTCTCTGAATCCTGGGCGCTCCATATGTTCCTGTACAGTAAGCTTATGATTAGCAATAGCATAATACTGTAAACTGTCAAAAACCTTTTTAGGCACTTTTAGACATTTCCTCATGAAGCACATGAGTGGTGCTAGTCCTGCTTCAAAATGTTACAAATCTGCATGATTTTACCAAAGAAAAAAAAATCATGTTGAGTGCATGGAGCAAAATTAATCCGCTTTTGACCTACCTACCGTGCGAAGCGCCCTTCCCCATATGTCTCTGAGGAAGTACTTCCTGTTTCACTTTTTTCAGCGGACTATCCTCGATCTTTGATGTGGTACATGTACTTGTTTTGTGTGCCGGGCGCTGCGGCGTCGTCACACACACATATTGGCATTGGCCTTTGCATGCACGTTGTGCATGCAAAGGCCAATGCCAACTTCGTCCCAGGGCTTTGCTCCTTGCTACATGTTTTATTTTCAGCCTCGTTTCCAATAGTAACCCCTGGATTTGGAACTTTTTAATTTCCAACGTATATGACGTATTCTAACGTTCGCTGTGAATTATTACGTCTACTTTACCTCAAAATCAATGCACATTTTCCATTTTGCTTGAATAATATGTAATATGACACTACATATTGGCTTGATTTCGGAACTCAAGCCGCCCGACGATTTATTGATCATGTGTTTACCCCAGACGTCCACCGTATACAAAAACAAACGCTGATTTAAAGCATAGCCTGGCACCATACTATTCTTCATTTGCATACGTGTGCAAGATTCTGAGCGTACTGTACTGCTCGACACCATGAGAACGAGGTTGGGGCCAATGCATGTTGGGCATACTTTCATGTGAAGGGATCGAAAAGGGGCAATCAACACCCAAGTGATCATTTCCGAGATTGATCCATCCAGTTACAGCGGATCTAAAGGGGGGGGGGGGGGGGGGGGGGGGGTGACTGATGTTATGAACCAGTAAAATGGGCCAAAAAATAATAAATGGAATGCTAAATTTCATAAATGTATTCTTAAATTGCAGAGTGTAGAAGGCCTTAATATTTTCCGGGGGTGGGAAGGAATGCTCACTTTTAAAAAAAATATGTATTTTTTAAAAACATTTTTTTCATAGAAGGCGGATAGATTCTTCGATTTTCTCAACTACTTTGCTGAAACAAATTGTGTCGAAAGGAGCCTAGCCATTGCGTATTCTACGTAGCTACAATTTCGTTAGAAACGAATAAAAAGACTTGTCAATCATTATTGATAAAAACATGCAAAAAATATTGCAAATGTATATTTGAAAAAGGGAGGCGGCCGGGGAAAAAAAAGGAAGCGGACGGGAACGAGAAAACGCTGAGGTTTTATTCTTTTTTTTTTTTTTTACTTAGCCTTATATCCACCCTCCCCAAGGTTGATCCAAACTATACTTCACATAAATTCACAATATAGGCCTAATGATTAAGAAATTACGTGGTAATGGAATCTGCGCCAACGCGTGCGCTTGAATTATTTATTTTCGTTACCACTGATCATCAGCAAATCAAACTGGTTCTTTGCTTTTTAGATTTTAGGCGCATGAAAAACAAATTGAACCTACGCCCTCCGGCAAATCGGAGGCCTAGGCCTGGTGCTCTGCCAACTCAGAGCCCTCAAACCCTATTTCTGATGGTCTCCGAAATGTCTGCGATGAATTTTCATTAATTATCGGCCCCTTATCCTAGCCATATTTCAATGTCTTTACTACAATGCGGATCACTCAGAGAAAGGGTGCGGCTTTAGGCCCTAATGCTTGGTGACTGGTGAGTCAAAAACAGCGGAACCCGAACCCCCTAAAAATATATTTCATATTTAAAAAAATATGTAGCAACAAAAATAATAATGACTGGAAAGCCAATTTCATAAGCTACTTTTTGATGAAAAAAATTAATGAAATTGCTATCCGTTTCAAGAATATCACCATTTAAACGCGCACAATGACCCTAAAACCATTAACCTGTCTCGTCCAAAAAAAAGCAGTTTATTGTGTGTTTTGACTGTTTGGAACAATAAAGAAAATAACACAGAATGTTTGTTTCAACAACTGTCAACAACTGTAGTACACAATATCTTTATAAGCAACACTGGTGATACAAACAATATGATTTATAAAATCCACTGTTTTTTAAAAGACGGGCTTTCAAAAAGACTTTGTTGAATATTTTAAACTTTTAAATTGAGGTTTTATCGCTGATGATGTTTGAAGACATCATTGTGACGACGATTCTTGAAATCGCATTTTTGGACGAGACATGTTGTAGGGTCATTGTGTTTAAATCGTGATATTCTTTGAACGGATTGAGCAATTTCAGTATTTTTTTCATCTAAAAGTAGCTTATGAAATTGGCTTTCCAGTTATTATTATTTTGTGTGCTACATATTTTTTAAATGTGAAATATAATTGTTGGAGTTTGGGTTCCGCTTTTTTTTTACTCACCTGTATATACTCGGTCATAGACAGTGGCGTAGCCAGGACGTTTTCAGTGGGGGGCGCTGGGGGGGGGGGGGGGGGGGGGCTGGAACATTTCATGGGGGGGGGTCATGTAAATCAATGATAATTTTTTTAGAAACTCAAAATCTCAGGGGGGGGGGGGGGGCGACTGGGGGGCGACAAGGTTTCATGGGGGGGGGGGGCTGTCGCCCCCCACGCCCCCCGTGGCTACGCCACTGGTCATAGAGCCTGGAATATAGTCTATTCCTTCCTCCATTACCGTACGTGTTGGCCTATACATGTAGGCTATAGACCTATTTACTTTCAAAAGAGAACCAGACAAAATTGTTCCAGAGCCAGACATCATTCATCTCCCCCCCCTCGAAAAAAAACCGGTACTCGCAAGTGTATGTTACACTGAAACTATGTAGGTTCTGCGTAACAGTGAATAAGTTTCGCTCATCATGCATCAACTTGATCAAGGTGAAAATTTGTACCGGTACCCAAAGAAATGCCAAGACGATTTGACTGAAACTCAACGATAAGCGACACCTACAAACAAAGGCGGAATTTAAAATGTTCCCATTGAAAATGCCATTAATCGATTCCCCACGTGGTATATAGCGCACTATTTTTATGGGAAACGTAGAGGCTTATTTTGGTCAATTATTATAGTGCGTGATTTTCGCGTGGGACGGCGGCCCGGGCTTGTACATGCAGGACGGCCAGAGCTTATTGTGGGCTCGCACTTGTTGTAACCCATCCCTTGGGCCGGGGTTTATGTTTGAGAATGTTTGATGAAATTTGAACCAGAAATCATTTAATTTTGACAAGGCGTGATTATTCAAAATGATATTGGTTTGAGGATGAGTCACCTTGCGGACAATACCACTGCTTACATGTAAACACCCCCCCCCCATTTAAAGTGACATGTCCAGCTGATTTTCCGGGTTTTCTACGGCAATTATTTTATTTAGGCCTACTTTCGTATGATGTGTGCTGCCTATAATGTCCGATCAAGATTGTACATCCGGGCCAGGGCGGCACCAGTAGCTTGCAATTGGTGAGAATCAGTGCCGACAAGGAAGCATCTCAGCGGGCAGTCATTTAGGAATGGGCTGCTGGTCCGGGTGCCCACAGTCACAAGAAAGGCTCCCCCTCATCTTATGAATGTGATGGGCAGTTCTTGCATGGAGGGTACAGATCCTATTTAGAGTCACCCACTGTTTACGATAAAGTTTGAAACCTGGTAGCTTAAAGGACCTAAGATGAGCTCTTTCTTGGCAATGTTGGCATCTTAATTCCCAGAGTCTGCATGCACCACTCTGCCTTTGAGCCAATTAGCTCTTCAAGAAACTTGACTGAGAACCAAAGGGGTTTATTGCGAGATTGCAGGTGCATAGGGCAAGTTATTCAGGTCATCATGGATTGGTAGGTCAAGATTGGCTTCAACGCGGTCTAATTCTTTCCTCGTCCTTTCCCGTTTCTGAGTCTGTAGTTTGGGTCCTAATGCATGCCTGCTCCCAACATGCACCTTGGTGCCTTGGTTGCTTTTATCCACTTGGATGGTGTGAAATTTAAGTCGCTGGTCAAAATTGGGAAGTGGGGTTTAATTGCCAATCGACATCGTCCTTTTGTTGGATGTCAGGATTATTACCAATTAAGCACTTTGAGAAAATTTGTGAAATCATCATGTTTCGGCGGCCATCACGACAGTGCTATCCTTTTAGATCGTCACAGAAGAGCACTCTTGATACATGTATGTGGCCCATTCAATGATCTGGCCTGCAAACTACGCGACCTACCTAATAATGACGGTCCGCATCAATGTGGTGTAGATGATGGACCTGCTTATAAGCAATGACCTTAGAAACTGAGGTTTCATCTTGCCACCTGATCTTGACGTTTTGGAGCCAGGTTGTGTGGCATGGCAACTGTAGACTTTCCAGTTTTCTAAATGTGAAGCAGTGTATAGAAGTACTGAAATAACCGATGCTCGTTCCTATTAGGGCCTACCATATTATTTTGATAGCATCATGTCAGCACGGCAGAAATCAGACTTGATAGTTTCAGCGTCAAAACCAAGCCTTACTTCACTCAGTTGGAGACAGGAAAAGACTCAGATGTCTCACTATTGTCCTCATGCATGCAACTGGGAATTTACAAAAAACGAGGAAATTCCAAACCACACAACATCCTGGACTCGTTCTTGCATGCCATTGTTGATAAAAGCTGCACCAAAACTTTCTTTGGCATCCCTAAACTTGGAATGATCTGCCAAAGGCCCTAAATTTAGTTACGTGTTCCGAGGCTATATAGAGGCCAGGGGTGATCATAGCGATGTAAGATCGTAGACTTCTATATCCTTCAGAGTGTCATAAAAGTTCCTTTTAGGTCATGCTAGCCAGCATAACTTTGAATCTCGTCAGCATTGTTCCTGAGCCAGGTGTTAATTGGTCATCATAGTCATCATTCTCTGTATCCGACTGTGGAACTTAGTGCCACCCAGGCATGACAACATGAAGCAAGATGCCACAGCTGCCGTGCGTTAGCCCCATCATCTTCCTCGAGCTGGTGTATCCAGGTGTTGCGAGGTCGGCATCTGCGCCTTATCGATATCCAAGTTGGATATACAGCTGAAGGTGAGCTGACTGATCACGTTAGTTGTTCAGCACCCTTTAGATTTTGAGCACTTTTGCTTCAAGATAACAAAATGCACAAATTACAAATGATGGACTGTATTTAAACTGTAGTGTAAGGATGGTGCAAAAGTTGCAAACTATGTAGGTACATGTATATCAATCATACATTTTCGAACAGAAGAAATCTCATGAACAATACGAAGTGTTTAAAATGTTAATTTATTTTTTATTCAACACATTAGGTGTCAATCAACGGAACATTTTTACAGAATTGGAGTACAGCTTTTAAGTACATGTAGCATCTCAAGCCACCGTGAACTGTATACAATGTATATGTCTTTTCGTGGCAATGGACTACAATCCTGAAACGGGTGTTAAACAGGGACAGAAATTGCATTTACTACTGCATGGTACAATGTTAGTCATTACATCTACTTAAAATTGGTTTGAAAAAGAAATTCAATTAAGTTGTGGTTAATTTCAGTGTAAAAAGGGATTCCCCGGATATTTGGTTTGGTGAGGCAAATGGTCTGCATTAACGTCATTAACATCATTATAACATCAACAAATTCAATTTAAGAACCTAGAACAATGTTTTCACGGGAGACTATTTTTTTTTTTTGCAATCAATTTTTCCTTTTCTTTTAGGTTCATTGTAAGAGTTGATATTTAAACAAACATTGTTATTGAACTCAACTAAGCGGGGCTGGACTAATTCATAATGGAGCCCAAATAGTACTTGAGCTGTATGGTTGCTATGGGAATTGCACATCAACATTTATCATGGGAAAGCTACTGCTACAAAGTATCTCAAGGCATATATCGCACTCTGAAAAAGGTACAGTACAGTACAGTACAGTACATGAATACTCCATGTTAGAAGATCATCAGCAACTGGCTACTTTGACAACTAACTAGCAATGTGGCCACGTTTCATGGAATTGCTATGCAGAAGATATTGCTGGGCCCAAGTTGAAACGTAATGGGAGACTTTTGAGACGTTGGTGGCAGCTAACAAACCGGTCCTTTTCTACTGTTTGAGCTCTTGGTTCTTGGTTGGTTCATCTCCTAAATACTCCGCGTGGGAGTTTATACAGGAGACCAGAAAAACTGGGCCAAACCCCTTCTCTTAGCGATAAGTGTCACTGGGTTCTTTTACGTGCATTGGATTACACAACACACGGGACCTACGGCTTTACATCCCATTCGAAGGAGGAAGTCATTTTGAGCATGCGTGATTTGCTGAATCATGATGTGAACAATTGAAAAGGACCGGTGATTTTGCTGCCGCCAAGCTCTCACAAGTCTCCCATTGCATGCAAATTTGGGCGGTTGGCCTAATTTTGCTGAGCAAATATTATTCTGTACTTAGCATGTTCCTCTGCATAAGCAGCTTCGCAAAAATGGCCCCCTTAGGATTTCATCACTACTTTCACAATTTGCAGATTCGCGTTAGCTCAGCATGGTTTACATCTTACGATAACCATTTGCATACGACTGTTTGAGGTACAATTTCTGTAATACCTTAATATTTTACATGTCCTCACACACTTTAGGGCCGACATGGTCTTTTCCTATTGAAAAACAGTGAAACCGAAGTTTTTTAGATGGACAAAACTGAACACGAATGGCTTACTTTAAAAAGTATGCAAATGTAGCATTTCCCAAGTTTCTCGCGGACATGGCATGCTTCAGAGTTTGACTAATAATAAGCTTGATATATACTCTAAATTGCATTCCCATTATATCGGCAGTTATTTCGACTGAAAGAAATCAAACTGAAAGAAACAAATGAAAGTTCAAACAATGTTACAATTTGCTTTTAGGAAGCAACATCTACACTTGAAGTAAAGCCTGGTTGCGCTTGAAAAACAGGGACTCTCTTGTGCTGTTTCTACAGGGCCTTTTCCACTATCCAAAAGATTCAGGAACCCCTTTGTTACAACTGATAATGTAGTAACCAACAGATAGTGTATCACCAACTGATAATGTCACACAAATTGACCGATACTGTATCACTAACCGATAATGTAACAGAAATTGACCGATAGTGTAGTAAATGTTACTACACTATCGGTCAATATTTGTTACATTATCGGTTAAGACCGATAATGTAACAACAATCGACTGATAGTGTAGTTCATTTTTACTACATTATCGGTTAGTGATAGAGTATCAGTCAATTTGTGTGACATTATCGGTTGGTGATACACTATCTGTTGGTTACTACATTATCAGTTGTAACACCCCTTTCATCACACTACCAAGAATTCAAGGGTAAAATCCAACCCCAGTCAGAACCAGGGTTGAGAGACTCTCTCCATGTAGATAATCCAAAATCTACACCGATCTGTGTACAACTTGTCAAAGTGTGAACAGTATGCATTGTCTAACCATGTTCAATACGGTGGACTTGTGTTGATTTCACCCTGGGTAGGGGAGACCATAGTGTGAAAAGGCCAAGCTATTACCTAAGAACCAGTTCAAGTTGCTGAAACTTCAGTGTAGCCTCTTCCAAACCATCTTTGCAAACGGACACTAACCAGACCTCCGGAAATTTCACTGAGATCTGGTCAAGTTCTTTTAATTCCTTTACGTCAGTTCATCTTAAGTTTATCCTATCAAAAAAAAATCTTGCAAGTTTTAGGCCTTTCGAATCACATACTATCACATAGCAAATATCAAAAAATTCATTAACTCTACTGAAATGCATAGTCAGATCAGACTGTCGAATCAATATGTACAAGAAATCTCATGCAACAAAGTATGCATTGTAATTAAAATAAAAGGGAAGTATTTAGAAATACAATTCGTTGCTTGACAAAAATAACAGCTACATTACATTTGTTAAAAGCAGTTCATAATTTTGTAACTACTTTACAAATTTAAAATCTTTTGAGGCATATTCTAAGGTAGAAGCTCTTTTTAATTGATTAAAATTTGTATCCAATTCCCATCCCCCAAAAGGAGAAAAATACAATTCAAAGATGTTATGACATCAATTGCGTTTGCAAGACAGATTTATTTTGCTGATATACTTTCTGCCTTTCTAGATACTCCACAGCTTTTTTTTTTAACTGTCAATGAATATGATGATTTAAAAAAATGCACCCTTTCCAATGCACCTTATTTATTTGATTTATATAAAAAACATATGGGCAAGCAGGTTCACTAGTGCATGTCTGAATACGCAAAATCTATCCAATGCATTTCAAAAGTTACTTTTGAAATTAAACTGGTAGACATTAATTTTTAAAAAATCTAATTTTGTTTTTTTTTGCTTTAATACAAGCATGAGTCTGAAAATGAATACTGCACAACTACATGTCACAACCACTTTTTTTTTTAATCCAAATAACATTCCACACCCGAGCCCGCACATGAATCTATCAGTTGAAACAAGAAACATGTTGACAGCTTTACTGTACAAGGCAAAATTTAACTTTATGTTAATTTTACACCAACTAGCAATTCGAATCTATGAGAGGATAACATAATACATGTACAGTAAATATACATGACAAGTATCGTCCAATGAATTCATCCCTACCTGTTTCTTCAATGGCCCTGGATTTTTGTCCAGAAAACTCACATTTCATGGCTTGGTTTTTGGCCCCCCAAAAAAGGGCCAAAAAATTGATCTTTTAATCTCATCAAATGCCAAACGGTTTCAAACTCCAGCACACATATGACTGAATACAAATTCAAGTCAACACACTTTATTATCTAAATACCCTGCTTAGGAGTTACAACCAAACACATTTTGGCACAGCTAAAATACATCACTAACCAAAAACCAAAAACTTATCCTTCTTCAAAGTACTCCAGTACTATATTTTTTTTTTTACAATTTTTAAATAGATAAGAATATATTTTCATAATTTAGAAATCTAAAAATACTATTTTTTTTTTAAATTGAGTTGAGCTTGTTTTGTTCAATTCGGATGAAATTTGCATAAAACATGTTAATGCATACAAGGTTTCTCTTATTATAACGTTAACTTGCATGAAGATGAAATCCGAAGTTTAATTACTCTTAAAAATTTATTTACATATTTGGCAGTTAATCGCGTTCAATGTAATGTCATGAGCTTGACACTTTACATGAACATTTTTAATACACCATCTCTAACAGACTACCCGTTTCGTTCAATGAATTGATCCAAATGGTTGGTAGGTATCGCTACCATCAATGCCACTGTCCGTTGTCCATCACACCATTTTGCCTTTGTGTCTTTTCAGAGGGTCAATCGCTTGAACTTTGTCAGCCAAAACAAAGAAACTATCCCCAGCTGTCCAACAACCATAAAATCTTTGTTTTTATAGATTGAAGTCAGGTTACTAAACTTCTTCAATGAGCGGGATTTTTCTAGTCTTTTTTTGAACCCAGAAAATATTGTAAAAGCACCCGCATTTGCTTAAAATATGGCCAACAGTATGGAGGACGAAAAGTGGAGGACACAAATTTGACTCTGCTCTTCTGCTCTGAAAAGCAGATGGCCACTTTTCGGCTGCCTGAGTAAAATCTGCGTTTCCGGTATCCGAAAAGCAGAAAAGTACATGTAGAATACACAGTTGTTGTCAAAACGTTTGATCCACTTTTCTGCTTTTCTGAAAGGAGAAAAGCAGATGGCCACTCTTCGGCCGCCTGGGTAAAATCTACTTTTCAGTTGGCAGAAATGAAAAAGGAGAGAATGGAAAAGTCGGAAATGTTAAATCTGATTTTCTGCTACTTGAGCGAAAGAAAAGAGGAAAAGTAAAATAATTCTGCAGAAAAGCAGAAAAGTAGAAAATGCATTTTCGCAAAACGTTACATCTGCTATTCTGATAGCAGAAAGGCAGATGTCTACTTTTCGTCCTCCACACAATAGGCTAAAAAAAAAAAAAAGTCTTAGATTCCTGATACACGTCATTCATTCAAGAGCTGTTCCATTTTCTTGCCCAATGGCAACCCCTCCTTAATGGTTGGGAACGGAAGAGCCAAGAAGTACTTTGGTTACAAAACTAACGATGGCCGACGCTGGTTGTTCCATCTCATACTCGGCAAACAGATGGCACTGGTTGTCTGTCTTGGAGCCCGGCTTGCGACTCACAAAACCAAAGATCCTGAAAGGACGTGGAAAGAAGCAAGAATATTCAATGAAGATACAATGACCAATCCAGGAAGTGAATGGTTGATAAGCATATTTCTATGCAGAAGCAGTAGTTGGCAGTGAATACTTGAGGAATGTATCTGAACGAGAACACGTCTTCAGTGGTGCTCGTTCACAAACTCCATAATATTTTCCTTGCAGGGCACCTAGATTTCTAAAGGTCAACTTGTCCCTATTGTCACCCTTTGTGTTTTGTACCCTACAAGGAAACGTGTTATGAACATATCCAAGTATGTACAACCAAATTTCATCTAACGATGCACAAAACCCACAGCGTATATGTATTTGCGTGGGTGCAAGGTGTATTGCGGCAACGACTTTAATAATATTTGTTCGTCTCTTTTTGTAACCGGTGGGGAGGTACTTATGTACCGAGTTCAACAATAAGCATAAGTACTTCACAAATTTCATCAGTTGTCAACAATTAACACATGCACTTACCTAGCCTGAGATTCCTCACTTCCATCTTTCCTCTTCCATCTACGCAAGTACATAAAGAAAAGAGGAATGAATGCATAAATGCAACCATAGGCAGAAATATGGGAGCACCTCCACATGTGAGCAATTCACTGATCAGTGGCCAAGCAAGAGTTTAACTAAAATTTGCGAGGCCACTTTTTCAATGTGCTGTTGACTTCCTGCATAGATAGTCTGGCAACATATGTTCCTGTGGTTCCGCAAACGCACATACATTTGGGTTAGAGACCCACCGATTAGTTAGTGAGTTTTTTTCTTAGCAGCACTTGAACACTGAGAATACAGTGTTTATAAAATAGTTGGTGTAGGGCAAAACCCAAAACTGAATTTACATCATCCCAATGCAAATTAAGTTAGGCTGGTATAAAAATATGTAAGTCTTACTTTCTTGAGCCCGAGTCCATGCCACAGTACAGAACAGACTGAACTGGATAATGCCTTCGAAAGAACACCCTGCATTAAAACAATTAACACAAAACAAATCAAATCGCAAAAGCATTCATATACATGTAAGTCCAGCAGGTAAAGTAAGTAAAGTCTGTCACGAGCCAATGTGGCCCATCAGGCGTTTATCTCCGTTTTCAGTAGCATGAAACGACTGAGAATATTTCTACTCCCCCTGGATGGGATGCTAGTCCATCGCAGGCTACTCCCCAGCTAATGCCGGTACCCATTTATACTCCTGGGTGAAGAGGGGCAAGTGGGGGTGAAGTAGCTTGCCCAAGGACATATTGCCAGCAGCTGGATTCCAACTCCTGACGCTCTTATCATGAGTCACGAACCCTAACCACTAGGCCACCCCCCAAGTTTAGCTGGTAAACAGATTCAAAAGTACAACAATGCACAAGAAAAGTGTTTTATTTGAAAACAAATGAGTGTGTATGTACAATGTAACAAGTGGTTTTATGTGGAGCAGTTTTTTTTTTTTTTACACCACTCTGTGTGCATGGTCATGAAGATGGGTTGTTACATTGACAAACTGGGGAACCGCCAACAAAGAGCTGGGTGGCTCAGGTGGTAGAGCACTGGTACGGCAATCCGGAGGTTGTAGGTTCAAACCCCACTCTAGTCAATTTCTTGGTTCAATACTCTATATATGCACCAGGCAGTTTCCCTTCCTGGTTTATTTGACGATTTGGAAAGTTGAACAGATTAAGAGCCTTATTATTGAGGACATTCTATCTTCAGGTTAACTTTGCATTTGAGATGAAAGTACGTGTAACTTCAGCTTACACTCTCTGGTTGTCTGTCAGTGTAACTCCCTTCAGCGAGACCTTGAAGTGAACTACGACCTTCTTTGGTTTATCCTTGAGGTTCACCAGTCGGTTTGTGGCCTCTCGTATGGCGCTTGGGCCAGTCAAAGATTCCATCTCCATGGTGGCCAGATATAGAACGTTACAAGCTGAAATTGATCGGGAGGAAAAAAACAGCATCCCTAGCAAACAGATCTTAGAAAACAAGACAAGGCAAAATGCAATTGATTTAGAATGGCCCAAAAAGTTTGTAGAATAAGTGAAAATCAGTCAAAGAGTTAGGTAACCAATCTACACAAAGTTGCAAGACTTTGCGCACGTTCAGAATAAAATTAATTGTGCATACTTCGTGCTATACGCGTGCTAACCAGTACGTACTTGTTCTACATAACCCCGAGGACAGACACACAAAGGGAGAACAACAGATCCTTTCAGTCCTCTGGAGTTGGTTCTTTTGTTCAAAACGGTCCTCTGTAGTAAGTTTGTGTGCTTAGCAGTGTTGTAGCGAGACCGGATAGTCCGAGACCGAGACCAAGACCGAGACCTGAAGTTGCGAGACCGAGACCGAGACCGAGACCAGCCCCTTCAAGGCGGACCGAGACCGAGACCGAAATGGTCCGAGACCGAGACCGAGACCGGGGATAATAAATAACAATTATCTAAATAAACAACAAGACACTAATTACAGCTGAACAGTCTGTCCTTGAGATGTTGATGTTCATGGGGATGTGAAGGAAGTGATTGGAAGTTAGGAATCACTTGTACCTGCTTAATTGTGTCATGCGAGTGCTCTTCGTGTTTGCTTCATGCCATAAATTACAACATGGCAACAGAATTTGTTATTGTCACAATCAATTTGAAAAAATTGGAAACAACCTAATTTAAAGAAGGGGAAAACCTTATTTGATGAACTCCATATATTTTTGCCACTTTTTTAAAAATATATTTTTTAAAATATTAGTTGACTACTATAAAGTGTAAATCTGATGAAGAAACTCTAACTTAAAGAGTACGACAATTTGTACTAGTTTTTACAAAACTTGAACATGTTGAAACTTGACAAAAGTAAAAAGTTAAAGGTGGATGTTTCATCTGTTATAGGAACTCGGACCCTAAACTCCACAGCCACCCCTTGGTTTCAGCAATGACCACTAACAGATATTTAAATGCAACTTTAATTTTACATTGGACCTCCTTGTAAACCTGATTCGAAAAAAATTTGGAGCAAGAAAATATTGATTCATTTTTTAAAATGTCAGTCATGGAATATAGATTTGTACATGTAGACCAAAACATTGAGAGATGGTAGCCAGATATGGATTGGTCTGCCCCCCCCCCATCCCTCTTTGTGATTCTCCTTCCAACCCTGCATGTTTGTGTGTCCCCTACATGTTTGTTTCTTGTTCCTCTGTCATTTACCTCTGAAGAAGGCCTGGCTAAGGCTGAAATGTAATGCCACTTTATTTTTGTTTAATGTCAATAACGTTACATATACTATAGAAGATTGATGAACCATATTTGCCTGATCTATCTTCTGCCCGCCGTCATCATCGTCATTAGCCTATTTGAGAATATGGCCGACACAATAGAAGGGCGCTGTCACAAACTGAATGTGATGGGTGAGATGTACTTTTAGGATTCATGGCTCAGTGCCCACGCCTCTCTGTGTTTTGTACCGTGCCATCGTATCGCCAGCATCAGCTACTTTGCTGGGCAATTTACTTGAATATTTTAGTGATTAACAAGTACGACATGTTGCCAATTTATTAATAGTTTATTGTGATGGCCGTAAACAGCATATAGCGATTAATGGAACACAATTCTTCTCGACTCATGCAAATGCAATTGACATTTAGGAAGGAGACAAGGCAGGCAATTAGACTCTATTTTTGTGTGTACATGGCAGTAGCTCAATTTGTGTTTATCATGATGAAAAGATGAATACATGGCGAGTCAAAAAGAAAGTGACCGTATGATAAAAAAAAAAATGGCACGCTCCATTTTGTAAAAAATATAATTGGGATAAAGAACATGTTATTGAGTAGTAACTGTGAACATTTCACGTAATTTGCATACTCTATTCCCAAGTCGTGTCTATTTTAATAAAGATATCACAAAATTCAGCTGTCCACCACTAATACCAATTTAACGGTCTACGAATTGATGAATATCCATTTATAAATATAATGGGAAAAAAAAAGTTTTCCCGCCTCCACGAATAAAGGAAAAATTGAAAAAGAAAATAGAAAAAAATCACCAATATTTCTAGGGAAAAAGAGTTGAATTGTTCCCCATATTCAAAATACAAAATCTGACGGTAAAAATAATGTTTCAGTCTTGATTCATAAGATTTAATTCTCAGTTGTATTTGGAATCAATGAGGATGGCTATAAAGTGCTTGTTTCAACAGATCATCCCACAATAAAAACGAGAAATATAAGAAGAGGAGCAATGGTTATTGGACTATGCCTCACTCACTAGAAAGTGAAGAGAGACATGTCCATTAGCATCACACTGCAGTCACATTTGCCCTAAACTGATTCTTTGCTTAACCCTAAAAGGGCCGGGGGCGGAATCCACCCCCCTCCCTTTTTGGCTGGTCTCGACTCGAGACCAGCCAAAATATCGAGACCAAAGGGGACCGAGACCGAGACCAAGACCAAGACCAAGACCAAGACCGAGACCACAGCTCCCGAGACCGAGACCGGCAAAAAGTGGTCTCGAGACCGAGACCGAGACCGGTCTCGAGACCTACAACACTGGTGCTTAGTCTATGGGAGAGCGTTATATTACAGGGACAAAGGGAAACACAAAGCATTGTCCTTGGGAGTATAGTAAAACAACAGTGTGCGCGGTGTGCTCCGTCCACAGGGCTCTTAAAAAGTAGTAAATAAGTGCCCTCTCTCGTTTGCGCACAGAGCCCATTGTCCCTTTCCTTTCTCTCTTTTTCCCTGTGTAAGATTTCCCTCTATTAGGTGCAGGGATCCAAGAAATGAAAAGGTCGTTGTAATAACAATGTAGAGCCTAATTTTCATTGTAGCAAATTTACATGCGAAGCAAAAATCAGCTGAAAACAAGTAACAAACGATACACATTGTATGACTTTTGTGGCTGGTAATCTGTTTTCGGTGAGCCAATTTTTTGTGCGCTGAACAAATTGCTGTGCTGTCCTACCTGCACCCTGAGATAGCAGAGCATGTGCTGACTTGGGGTCGATACCACTGTCTGCAGCATCCACCCCTGACGGATCTGTAATAGGAACCAAGTATATCATGTCTTAGATACAGTCAATTCACTGAATGCACTGGTGTACGAAATGAGTTTTTCTTAGGAACACATTTTGTGCAATTTTCCACTTCCCTCTAATGTATGAAAACTATTTCACATTCCTTTTTGGTTAATTTCATTGACATGTGCATTTCTTTAAACTTTAAAAAATGTCCATGCTTTACTGGACAACTGAGGTCGCTGTTGCTGTGATGTAATTTCAGGAAGACACTCTTCATTCTATGGTTTTCTGTTCAAATTGTGAACCCAAACAATTGCTCACTGAAATTTTTTTTGAGAAATGTTTGCTCACTGGCTTACTGCCATGTACTGCATGCACAACAATCACCACAGATTTTACGACAGCAAAATATCCGAAATTCTGGTAACTTACAATGCTAAAACTGTTGTAACATTGAGGTTTCTGCCTGAAATGACATCACACTTTTGCTCATTCATAAGGTAATTCGCATTAGCATAAAAACCAAACAGGCACCAAAATACCCTTGAAAACTGAAAAAACGAAAATTGAAAATAAGGTTAAATTGAATACAAAGGTGCATTTTCAAGGATTGCATTAGAAAATTTACATTGCATGGCCCTTTCAATGAGCTGCCAGTCAGGATTACCATGCAACTGTCAAAATTGACAATGAGCTGATTAAAATATTCAGAACATCATGTTTGCATCAATGTACTTTTTTCAAGGTAACTGACTAGCTGATATTTGAAAGATTTTTCAGATGCAATTAAAATGAGTATTCCTCACAGAAGCTTTCCAGTCATGCATGTAATGTGATTATCGACCAGACTGTAGCATTTGACACACACACACACACAATATAACCTTGAACTTGACACAATTAAAATATGCCTGCCAAGCCGGTAAGAGGCTGTGTTTCAACTGATAATGTAGTAACCAACGGATAAGGTATCACCAAACGATAATGTAACAACAACTGACTGATAGTGTAGTACGTGTACATTCTACTACATTATCTGTCATTTTTTGGTAACATTATTGTTTAGTGATACAGTATCAGTCAATTCATGTTACATTATCGTTTGGTGACACGGCATCCAGGCTGTGCTAAAACAAACATGGCCTCCCAGCCATGGATGACATTATGGGACAGTGTAACAGACCTTATGCATAGCAGCCATATTAGAGGGCAATGCCTTTGTTTTTGCTGGGATATGCATGAGGGAACCTTTTGTGTATTCATTGTTACTGAATTAAAGCTATAGTCCATCATTTGCAGCTATCCGAAAAGTAACTGGCGTAATTATTGTTGAAAAACATACTTGGTTGAAAGATAGTAAGGGGACTAAACTCCCTGTGAAATTATTCATTCTGGAAAGCTGTCATTTTGAAGTAATCAACGAAAGAAGGCCTTTCTAACGGTGCGTCTTAAGACATGATTCAGCAACTTTTGATTTGAAATTGAGATCCTAGAATGCTCTTTTTCTCGGAATATACAGCTGAAGCTGAGCTGAAACTTCATCAGGTTAGTTGTTCAGTATCCTTCATTAGATTTTGAACACTTTTGTTGCTTCAAGCGAACAAAATGCACAAATTACAAATGATGGACTACATCTTTAAAATAACAAATGACGCCCTCTAAGATGGACGCAACGCATAAGGTTAATATATATTAACCTCATACCATGACAATTAATACCTGATTCTGGTAGTTGGAGTTTACACGGCAATGCCAGCTGCGTCAGTGTGTGCTGGTAAATCAGCGCTGATAGACTGCCAAATATAGGCTCGTTAGCACAACCTTTGAGACGAACACCTCGCGGATTTGGCTCGATCAGGAAGTGACGTACAAGTTCACTGGCTGGGTCAGTAGCTAAAAGAAAAGACAAGAAAAAAAAAAGTTAAACAAATCATTGTTAAACTATGGCTCAATATACTACAGCTAAGATGAGCTAAGAGACTTCCTTTAAAAGAACGTGACATTTACAAGTTAAAAGTTGAAGAGAATACAAAAATGTAGCAACATATTTTCCCAAAGGGTTTTAACAGAACACAAATTCTAAAATGGAGCTTTCTCTATTTGTGATTCTCCTTCCAATTGTTGTGTTACAACAGTCCGACAAGAGTCGACTTGATGATGATGTGTTACAGATCAAAAGAAGAATTGTTATTGCCAGTAGAAAAATGCTCACATTTACTTTGAGAGTATGTATGCTCACTACATATATGTCTCTTCAAAAACATCAACAGCCCCTCAAACACTGTGAGGCATGCTGCACTACTGCTCTGTGCCCCCACTCTCGATCCCCTTACATCCAATACATATGAAATAGAAATGGTGTTTCATATTATCCTTTTGACATATTTAAATGTTTCCCCTTTTATTAATTAGTGATCAACCAAAGATGTGTTTAAAGACCGTGCTAAAATCTGCAAATAGGGTGCCCGTCATTTTTGGTTGGGTAGTCAGATCCCGGTACCAGCTCAGCCCTTTTTACACTGTTCATTAATGAAGTACCGGTACAAAGCTTGGTGCCTACCTTTCTTGCTAGGTGGTGCATTGGGCGGTAGCTGGGCAACCTTGACAGCGAGTCCAAAGGCGCCAGGAAATGAGTTGCTGTCTCGGACTACAAACTGCCCAGGACACTTGTCTTTCAACATAGTGATGGCTGGGCAAATGACAAGTAAACAAAAACACTTCTAATGAAACCGACTCGAGAATGTAACAATATTAAACACTTCACAAACATAAAAAATGAGATGAGCAGCATTGCTGTTGAGTAAGGGAAGAATGCGAAATGACACCTCAAGGTTTGACATGGTTTCACAAGTTTTATGTGGTACCTCCGGGTTCAACCGAGGAGTTACCACTTGTTTAAGTTTACATTCTTCCACAACCAATAACCATCACTTATTTTTTGATTTGTTTTTCTACAAACAAATTTTTTTTCTATGTGCGCATCTGAGAAGAATTTATAGTAATTGCAGTTTTAAACAATGTAAAAGACTAACCTTCGTCTCTGGAGATATGAGGTTTGTACCACCAGGCAGAGAGATCCTTCACAAAACGCACCTTGTCTACACTGGTATCTAATGCAATAAAAAAGCAAAACATAATAATAAAACATGCTTTATCAGAGATTTTGGAAAATGGCAACATGATACAAATTGGCGTGTTCCTGGCCACACATGAATGAAAATAAGGATACCAACTGTCATCAAGGCTACGCTGACTGAGACATTATGTTGACACCTCTGGTTTTGCTAAGAACCGTTTCACTTCTAATCATGTATCTACAAACCCAGGTTTCTTGTCCCTAGCCCTTAGAAAGCGCAGAGTAACCCAATATTAATGTTTAATTCCATGAGATCGAGCTAATTACTTCTGTCAAGGAGTTTTTCGAAACCACGGTCACATCTCCAAAAGATTTTAAACCTTAAGGAACTCCAGCTCAATATGAGTCCACATTCTACACATAAGCAGGTCAAACTTCAGAGAATTTGCTTTTGTTTGGATATTACATGCTTCTGGATGACTCTGAATCCACGGATGAAGCCAGAACTGGAGACAAACAGTGGTTTTGGCAACCTCAAGTATGTGCTAAGATGCAAAGGATGGAATTTGCATCAAGGAGATGTAAATTCAATATTGCGTTTTGCCCTCCACTAACATATTTTACTGAATATTGAATAATATTGAATTTACATTTCTCTGAAGCATATTCCATCCCACAAATACATTGCAGGATGGATCAGCCAGCCGACCCCGGCAAGCTCGGTGGTTGAGTGGTAAAACGTCTGCACTAGTAAGCAGGAGGTCGTGGGTCAAGACCCACCCAAGTACACTCGTGATTTTTTTTTTCGTACAAGTTTTCGGACAACACTGAGTATACGGTGTTCATAAAAAAACATTAGTGAATGGCAAAACCCAAATACTGAAGATGTATATAAATTTGTGGAATCCACCTTACCAGCAAGCGAGAGGGAACTTGAATACGGTGAGGGCTGCTGCATCAAATAGAAATTGGACGGAGTGGTACGGCCACTTTGGGCTGGCCCAACACTGCCATCTGATGCCTTCCGCTGGTGAGCAGAACGGGCTGGTAATATCCCTTCACTACATCAACGAAATTCAAAGAAATCAGAAAATAAATCATCCTCTGTACAAAGACTTTGAGACTACATTTGGTCTACAGTGTTTATATTTGATAGATTCAGTGGAAAAATAACATCAGTTCATCGAGGTGGGTTGCTGCGTGCCATGGAGAATTATTTTGGTATTGAACTTGGAACTTAATTCGCCATAGCTTAAAGGGAAAATACAACATTTGCAAACATCAAAAAATAAAACTACCAAATCATTTTGAAATACCTTGCTGGACTGTTAGTGAATGACAGTGTAAAGCATCCTGTAAAATCATGGCACCTGGTATACTGTCATTTTCAAGAAAAGTGGTATTTTTGTATCAATTTCCAACGCTGGTCGGCCGACCAGCGTTGGAAAAAAACTGTTTTTTTTCAAATACTGGCCCCAATTGACCATCACACTTGTTTGCAATCGATTGCACACCTATGAACGGGTACAAGCCAGCTAGACTGGTTTCCTGACCTTACAATTCCCCAATGTATGTAAACTGCTCTGTTTCTTCTTATATGAAGTCAGGGAACCAGACTACAGGAAAATGATTGTTTTTCTTGGTTTTTATAGCATTTTCGAACCCAAAACCTCAAAAAAGTCAGTGTAACTATATTTGCTATATATTTCCAACCCCCAATTCCATCCATTTCTGAAAATTACAGCAAAAGCAAATGATGTATATTCCCTTTAATAGCCTCAACAAATAGGCCTACACTCCACTGTCCTTGTAAGTAGCGAGTACAGTGTACATGTGTCTAGCACCTAAAAGGCTTAAAGGTGGCAGACTGGGTACAGTTGTAATCATGTCAAATTACCAGTTAATCATGGATCAAATCACAAGTTATTCACATGGAAATTTGCAAATTTGTGACGTGCAAGCAAGTTTTATGCTGTGAATTCCAAATCAGAGCTGCCAACATTTGCATCTTGCAATCAGGGACATTTTGTACAACAATCGGGGAGATATTTAGAATTACATTCAACATAATAGGGAAAAAGTTTCCATAATCAGGGAGATTTTCGAATTTGTTCATCAGAACATGGAAAGATGGGTTTATTTTCAGGGAACTTTCTGCAGAATCAGGGAGAGTTGGCAGCTCTGCCAAACAGATGAGCAATTTCGAATCTGGAAAATTTTGCCACATTCATGCAAATGAATGCAGTACTATACTAGCCTCAAACTGAATACGTCTAAATTGCCTTCTCTTAATCAGTTTCTCGCATTGAACTACAGTGCAATGGGTGCTTTCAGGAAATGAAAATCTTGCATCGACTTGAATCATACCTGCCCGTGGAAGCCCGTTTGGCCTTGACCACTCCCCTGTTATCATACATGGTATGATATCCATTGGCTACTTGAGGCGGGACCTCCTCCACTCGACCAGCGGCGGCTTTCCGATGCCGGTCACTGAAGGTAGGATACGCTGGCCCTGGGGGTCTGTTTCTCATGCGATCGCTGTACGTCGGGTACTGTGGCGGGGGCGGCTGGCTGGACAGATTCTGCAGCTGATGGCTGAACTTAGGGTCTACCTGTTCCCTTTCGATTACTTCTGGCTTCACAGGTGGCTCCTGTACAAACGGCACCTGATACTGGGCTCCTGGAGAGAGCTGTTGGGGGCTGTTGGGAGGCGTAGCCGCTCCCCGTTTGAAGTGAACATCGCTAATAGCGGGAGCTATTCCCTCGTTCTTTATATGCACTTCGAGTTCAATTGGCCAAGCCGGGGCAACCTCAACAGTCTTTTTCGCAGTTGGTACAATCTCGGTCTCTTTCACAAGAGCCTGTGAGCCGGTTGGCCTTTCAGGCACACCCCCTCGGGCATCTTGGAAGGTAACCTCTTTCTTGGGAGACGGTGGAAACACGCTGGCCTGGTAGCGTGGGCTGACGGGCTTGGCTTGGCCGTCCAGTTCCTGGATGCTGTAATTTGTGACCGGTATCCGCTCCGCTCTGGCCTCCACTGGGTAGTACTGCCCATTCTGAACGGCTTTTCTCTCCACCTGAGTCCCCGGAGCTGGGACGCGTTCCACCTTGGCCGTGATTGGCTGTTGCACGACAGCCTCCCTCGGGCTAGGACCTGGCGTTATTGCTGCTACGCCATTTTGGTCAACGATTCTTTCCGTCTGAACAATTCTCCTCTGGGTCACAGTGATGACTTCAGGGGTTGTGGGTGTGTTGCTGCTAGCTGCAGCCGTAGTAGTGCTTGCGACATTCATGGGACTAGCAGTGTCAGTCGAGGTTTGCCGAGCGGGACTGATATGGAGACCGGTTGTGTCCAAAATGTCTCTCTTGTCGCGTCCTTTTGGGGAGAGAGGGTACGGTTCATCTGGTCCTGTGTAAAAAGTGCAAAACAAAATATGAAAATTTACAGCTCTAGACCAAAAGATAATACATATGGGTTAAGTTTTATACCTTAAGCTCGTGTAGAACTACCTATGCACACTTACCGTGCGGTGGGCGTACTGTTGCAAGTGGTGTCCACATCATATTCTTGTAAGCCTTTGGTCCAACCGGAAATCTGGGCGTGGCGCCTCCATTGGGCAGGCTCTCATTAGATGAGCCTACGTCGTACTCTGGTTTACGAGACCACTGCTCCTTGAGATTGGGCGTCTTCAGACCCTCCATCCGGTCCCAGTATTCGCTCTCCTGGTCAAACAACCAAAGATGTCATGAAGAACTCCTCAGGGTTCCCACCGAAATCTTACGGTGAAAATTCCCTGACATTTCCAGGACAAAATGAGGGCTTTCCATGATCAATTCTTGGAATATATAGCGCACGTATCTACCAACAATTACCGGTAGGTACTCAAGGCGCTGGAAAGTATGTCTATTATTAAAGACAGGTAAATGAAGTTGATGAAAAATATGAGGCCCATTATGTAGCACCTATAAGGGTTTACAAGACGCCCATTCTACTCGTAATTAACAAGTAAGCATCATGCGACCGTCTCCTTGCGTGTTCATGCGCCTTTGATGAGCGTTCGATTATCCTGAAAGACCTGTGGAACCATATCACTGTGCGCAGGCACAGTTGAAATACGACGCTGGCTTATTCGTCCTCTAGGTACTGGCTCTCATGAGCATCCAAACCATTTCACAATTTCTACACGGAGTCAATAAGACTTCTGCCTCAGATTTACAAAAAATAGACTAGCTCTAGCGCCCTTAGTGCCAGTCAATAGGTGTACATGTATATTTCATGTGATGTTTAGGGCCTATTGCTTGTGACTGATTCTCAGCTGTTGTTCTGATTGTGATTTTTTTGCTCAGCTGTTCAATGCACACAGCTACCATTCCCTTCAAAATGTGTTTGTTAGAGCCCTTAGAGCCAGTCAATAGGTGTATACTGCATGAGACTTATTGCTTGCGTTTGGTACTGAGTGGCATACTCCATCAGATTGGGCCAAGTGCATAATTACTTGATAAGTGGTTGAAGAACCATGCCTCAAATTTACAAAAATAGATGGGACTATTGCCTTCAGTACCGGTCAATAGGTGTATAGTGCATTGCTCGACTCACATGATTGGGCAGACCACCGGGATTGTGCAGCCATCTTTCAGGGGATTTCCCCTGGATACTCGGACTGGGTGGATCATAGTACTGATGTATGGCTGAGTCTGAGTCGTACCCAGACTGCTGAGGGGTGCGTCTCGTTACTTGCTTGGCCTTGCCAGGTTTGACTCGAGGTCCGGGAGGCGGCTGACTCATGGGTTGGTCACTACCATTTTTGCTTGTAATATCTGAAATTAAGTTTAATTTCAATGAGATCAGATTATCCCAATGTTAAATACATGTACTCGATCACCCTATGCAAAACTTGTAAGCTGTTGTATTTACCGTAAGTCGATTGTTTTCCCTCTTGCCTAATGACCTTTTTATAGGCAGAACACCCTGTGCAAAGCTATCAAAATATTTTCTTTGTTTTTAATTTGCTGGGAATGAGCAAGATCCCAAGAATAACAATCAAAAAGTAAAGCTTTCGATATCAAACAGATGTTGACTCACCAGCAACCCTGTCAGCTACTCTGCCCTCAAGGTTGAGCGGTTCCTCTATGTTAGATTCATCAATATGCAGGTCCACCTTGTATGCATCATTCACGCCAGCCTTGTTCGGTCCAGGCACGTTCTGAGCAGCTGCTTGTTGCCTAGGTAGTGCATTTGACTGATATTTAGCACTGGTTCCGGTCCACCCGTTAGCCAGGTTAGTCTGCCTCGATGGGCCAGTTAGATCACCCCCTTTGTGCACGTCAGTCACATGCAGGTTATGTTTAGTGGTAGACGGCCTGCCTGTTGCAATTGCAGGGTCTTTGTTTTGGAGGTGAGTCCATTCAGACAGCATGCGAATGGCATCTTCCAGGCCGGCCATGAGGTTAATGTTACCAGTGGGATTAGTGGTCTGGCCAACAGGCACAGCCTCCGTCACCCTGGGGGTTACACCACTTGAGGTTTTAGGATTAGACAAGGTAGGCTTATGGTTAGTGTTTCGGGGTAGCAGATGCTGAAGAGGGATGGTCCCAACGTTGTGGCTTCCGACGGGATGTCCGCTACTCCGTTGCCCGAGATCTTCTCTCTGGTGGTTAGTGGAGCTGTATGTTCCTACTGTGTCTGCAGACAGTGCTCGAGGCTCTCTCTGATCAGCTTCATAGTCCTCCCTTCTTAGCCATACATCCTGACTCTGACTGCTGCTTCCTCCCTCAGACTTACCGGTATGCCGGAATCTACCAAGAGGACGATTATGTACCCTATCAGTAAACCCTTGCTTTGGACGCCTTCCAACATCCGTATCGGATTGCCTTAAAGTTAAACCCTGCTTACTTTGAACCAGTCTCGCTTTTGTACTGGATCCCCAATCCATGTCTGTACTGTCTTTGCCACTAAACAAGTTCAAATTGTTAGCGGACGAATGCCTAAGTGTCTGGATTCGATCCATGACCCAGTTGTAGGAAGGGACAGGAAGGACAAGACGGGTATCATCTATGAATGGTGCGGGATTTGCTTGAAGCATTGAGTCATCATGTGGACCTTGTGCATATGGATCCACTCGCTCAAATCTAGAGCTAGGATCCAGAAAATGGGCATGTCTTGTCCTAGGGGTTGAGCATGAAAAGTTTGGAAAGTTAGTTGTTAACTTTGTGTTTGGTTCTGAGTCAGGGAGGTTATCATGAGTAAGCCTTACAGTCCTTGGCAGTGAGTTGTGAAAACCAGATTGCCAAGACTTCTGAGAAGTGCCAAATTCTGAAGGGTTCATCTTAGATCTGTTATACTTTGCCTTTGGATGAGAAGCAGAATTTGTATCATGCATGTAACTTCGGCTGTGAGAGGAATGCAGAGGTCCATCTCTCGGAAGAGAGTGGTAGCGTGGGCCACCAAATGAGGTGGCATTTCTGTTAAGCCGTGCATCAGAGTCAGATGACAATACATGAGGTGTGAAGTGTGTTACACCTGAGGGCGAAGAGGTTTGGTTTGGATACATAGGAGAAGAGTTTGTTTCTGGGAAGTCACTTTGAAAACTCCCCTTGAATGTTTGGTTTCTTGGGAGTGACTGCGATCGGGTTTGTGTTGGGGGTGACTTGGATGATTTTTGCTTCTGTGCAGATTTGTAAAAGGTTACTGAATGAGGGGATCGGTTTGTGTCCAAGTCACCTGTCCATCTGGGGTCTCTCTTTGGGGAGTTTATCATTTGGCGTCTTGGAGTAGAATGAAAGCGGGACATTCTTGATGACTGAGGAGAATGATTTGGGATGGACTGATTGGACCAGGATGATTTTAATGAAGAAGACATGGTTGGTTTGAATGGGATGCTTTCTGATGGCAGAGTATATTGTGGTGGAATGTGAGGAGGTGACGGAACATGAGGGGCAGCGGAAGAATGTGACTGAACAGTTTGCAGTAAGCCTCCCCCTTGTATCTGTAAGTCCCCCTGCCCTCTTGAAATCACTGGTTCCCTACAACCGGGCTCAGACACTGGCTTTCGTTTTAGTGTTGGACTCCCCCCGACACCCTTATCTCTCATGAGTCCCAGAAGCCGGCTCTGTAACCCCCCACTTTCATCTTTCCTGATCTCTTGCATGAACAGCAGGGGCAGCTGTTTCATGTCGAATCCCGCCTTCTGCGGGAACACATGGAGGATCTTCTTGCGGGTTTGCGTTGTGGTAGTTGTGGTGGTCTCGCTCCCGTCGGCACCAACAAATCTTGTTGTCTTAGCGGATTTTACGGGTTCGTTTCCGGTTACGGTGGAGGAGAGGGAGGAAGCATAGCCAGAATCGCTGGACAGGCCCGGGACCCATTGGGTCGTTAGGACATTAAGAGTCTCATCCTGACTGTCTTGGGAGCCAGGGTGTGAAGTTGGAGGAGGGTGAGTGACAGATCTGTTGTTTGTTGTGGAGAGGGATGCAGTGGGGAGTTGGCATGCACGTCATTCCAACAAGATGATGAATTGATATGGAAAGCAAAAACAGGATGAATGGACAACCGAATGGTCAATACACATGCACTACCCACTGTGAAATGAAATTAATTGACAGTCAAGAGTGGAAAGAGATAGATCAAGGACCTTAAGATGATTAATTAATGCCAGTGTTATTAAGAAAGTAAGAAAGAAATACAAAACACCAAATAATTGTTTCATTAATTGGATACAGGATCACAGTAGAAATTAAAAAAGTAATTGTTAACGTGTTCAGTTAAAACCCAGCCCCACCCCACAAAAACGGCTTCTTACATTTTGTAGGCAAAAGTTACATTTGAAATATGTAAATTTGTAAATTTGCCCGGTAAGTGATGGTTTCTGTTAACAACACTGAAACTGTAAGTACATGTACTTAAAACCAAGAAGGGGGGGGGGGGGGGGGGGGGGTAATTAATACTTTTAGATAAGTTTTGTTGTTATGTGACCAATATTGAGCCGAACAGCTCACAGTACCCAGAAGAGGAGTTACTAAAATCAATAATACACACAAGGAATTTGAGCCACAGATCCAGCATGCGGAACACATGCCACAATCAAACAGAGTGCAAACAAAAACTTTCTGCACAACATGCACCACAGCACTTAAGTGGTTCTACATGCACAGTGTTCTGAAAGGAACCAACCGTAACAAATTACATATTGTAGTCTGAAACTTTTATTTTGAGATCAGAAAATTTCAGTACATACATGTACAAGGAAGGAGTACACAGCATTGAGCTGGTATATGTATATTGTGCATTGGTTCAAATGGAACCTCCTGGGGGCAACAAGACGATAATAGTTGCCCGCTGTTCTGATTCTGTCAAAAGATACTTAATTCCATGCTCAAGAATTAAAAATGACTGGAGGGCTAAGTTGGTCATGTATATTAAGATCTTTTCGTTTGGGCTTGCGGTAACACCATGTGGTAATAACTACTGCTTAGAAGATATTTAGTTCTGAAAAGAACTTGTCCTGCTTATTATCAACTTTCGCTAAGTAGTTTTTTGTTCTGATAAGAACGGTCCTGCTTTCAGTTCTAAAAGAACTTGTCTTTGGTCTCAATGTTTTGACTAGTCTGCTCTAGTCTTGGTCAGGAGACGATACTCCTACTCAAATCTTCTTACCCAGCATTATCTTTCAGAGTACTCGAGTGCGGTCCGGCTGGAGGTAGTGTCGTTATACCATCGCCAATCCCATACGTCGGCGCTTGAGGAGCGCGCTCTGTATCTTGGCGCTTCTGGGTCACCACGGGCCTCTCCCGGTCGTAGGTGATGTCCGAGGTTTGTCGGTTGAGTGATCGTTGATTGGACTGCCACAACGGGCTGCCGTCGTGCTCGTAGGTGTTGGGCGGCGTCAGCGGGCCGGCATCCACCGAAGCCTTCGGAGAGTGGGAGCTGGACAGCTGCTGGGTGACGGACTTCTCCAAGTTGGTCAGATGGGGCCGAGGCAGGGGACCGTTAGCGGCGCTACTGCTGCTAACACCTTCACATGATCAAAGGAAAACTTGGTAACTCTGCTAGACAAGTACAGCATGTCACTAATCAACAGGATTGTAATAACACCATGATGCATATCTTGATACTGAAATAACGAAACCATACGATCAGAATTTCATCCAATTATTGCAATCTTGATATTGTGTTTTTGGATTACAGCATTCTTGTATCATGGTAATCAAAATTATATTGTCATCATCAGTATAACCGAAGTGTTGATGTTGACAGACACAGAGACCAAAGACAAATTAAAAAAAAACCTACACAATGTTGAATGATCACAAATAATCCAAGCAAGTATTACCTGAGGAGTCAGTCCTTGGTGGGGAGAAAGATGAACTATAAGATGGTCCTGGTAGAGATGTGTCAATAAATAAAGGCTTTGAAGAGGGATCCATTTGCCCTCTCTTCATCTGCAACTTGCGTTGTTTCTCTTCCAACCAGGTCAGATTGTCAGTGGGTGCCTGCTCCCTAGGGGCCTGCTCCCTAGGGACCTGGACCTGGGGCTGTATCAGCGGTTCCGGAACAGGTTCTTGTCTGGGTTCTGGTACTTTCGGCAGTTCCCTCTTGGGGGTCTGGTACGTGGCGTGCACCGCAGCTCCTTCCCGCTGACGCTTCTCCTTGAGCTTCTGTTGCTGCCTCTGAAGCCAGGTCATTGCGTCATCCCCGATTTCTGATGATGCACGGGTGCTGCTTGAAGGCGATGGAGTCGGCTCGTAGTTCGGTGGCTGCCTGGGTGCGTTATCTCCAGTGAATGCGGGTGAGACACTAGGTCCCTGTGGAGACGTCGGATCCTCCTTGTAAATGAACATCAACTGTTCCTTCTTGGCTCGGAGTGGCTGCGGCTGCCAAACATCTTGCTGTTTGGAGGTTTGGGGGTAGGGTGACGAATTGAATTGTTGTATGGGAGCCCTGGTGTTTTCAAAACCATCGTGCGCCCTCCCGGCTGGTGGGTACTGGTTGTTTTCCTTTGTCACGGCGTATGTGGGGTTGTCGTGCAACTGTGGAGTTCTTTGCATGTTAAAATCAGGTAATCTGCTACTCTCAACTGTCTCAACCCGACTGAAGGCAATTTTCTCCTCAACAGGACGGTCTTGCAGGCTCGCTTGGTTGTTAACAAACGGGTCCCGTTTTTGAACCGCATCTGTGATCTCCGCATAGGGGTTTTCAAGCTCTCCTTGCGTACTACGAAACTGAGGATGATACACCTTCGGGGCCGGAGAACGTCCTGATTCTAAAGAGGGAAGATGAGACATCTGCGCCTCAACTTCAACAATTCTTCTTTTATCGCCAGCCTAATATAAAAAAGATGAAATAATGGTAAGTGTACTGTTGCAATTTTTTAGTCCTCTTGCAAAATGTTACACTTTGATGGCCAGAAAAGGGATTATTTCATCTAATGTGGTTGTACTAAGAATTATATAATTACTCATAAAACTATTAAGTTATTTTACAGAATGTTAACTTTTTGTGGGCAAGAAAGGGGTCATTGTAAAGTGTTTACATAACAAAGTAAATTTCAACTTGTTTCTCTCTGTTAAAAAGGGATTTATAATGAAGCAGATTGAAAAAGAAAACATTAATAAAGAATTATACATCCTATCAATGTAACACCTGACAAAAATCAAAGCAAACAGTTGGAACTTATTCTTCATTTAATTCTGTCACTTTTACAATAGCAAGTCAATCACAAGTCTATCATAAGTAAGGTCAAAAGCAACAGGAAATGAAAAATGAAACATTAATGCCTTGTCACAGTTCATATGACTAGCTTTTGCCTTGTCTTGCAACTGGATGATGGACATGTGTCCGTACCTCTCCTGATCCAATGCTACCAGGACTACTCAGGGCCGGTACGTCTTCTCCGATTCCCCTCAACAAATCATCCAAGTCTCGTTTCTCCTTGTAATTCATTTCCCTCCGTAGTGGAGTCGAAGTCTCCGGCGACTGTCTTGGTCCGTTGGACAAGTCAGTCGGCTGCTGGGGCCCGTTTGCAAACTGGACCAATGTCGGGCTCAGGGGATGCTGCATGGGGCTGGGAGGGTCACTAGTAGGGGTGCGTGGGCTTGGGGTACGCTGAAAGTTTGGGTCCATCTGAGCATTCATCTTGGCACGCAACACGGCCAGCTGCGTGGTCTGCATAGGGCTGCGCGGACCTGCATCGTAGTCCAAAGTGTTGGGTATGACAGGCAACAGTTGATTGGACCGCGGGGAAATGGAGGCTGGCGAGGTCGGGCTGGGGCTGGCAAAGAACGGATTGTCGTGCTGAATGGGACTGGGCGTCTTCTGGACTTCGGCATACAGGCTGCCGTCTGGAGCTGAGCTGTGGGGGACGTTGTTGTTGATGCTGACTGACAAGTCAATCACTTCAGGGGTATAGTCTGGCAAAACACGAACACAAAAATTACAACTTCAACATAAATAACGATGTTTTAAAAATTCTACAATGTAGAACGTGAACATGTTGTGGCTGTGTGTTTCCCATAATTTAGACTACCAATCCATGATGATGTATGCCCTAATTTGGTTAATTTTATCAAGAAATACGTATGTCCACTCCCAAGCCCCCAAGAAGATAAGTCATTTGTATCTGTGTGCCTACCTAATCACTTTGGCCATAGTTGTTTAAGAAATCTCACAGAATTACAGAAATCACTCTTGCTATACCTACCTCCTCCTTCAATGGTTTTGTCGAAGTTCTCATAGGAGTCCCAGCGGATCAGGGGATCATCCATTTCATCTACGGGGAAGTTACTGCCGGCTACATAGTCACTGCCGTGCAGACGGTCTGGCGTGTGGGAAAATATAAACTCCACTTTGGTGAAGTCTGGGAACCGTGCATCTGAAAAGAAAAGAAGGAAAAGTGTTGAATGCGAGTCAAACATTAAAAGCCAATATTTCTGCACATGGCCATATTTAAGGAAATCAAAAGTCCTGCCAATGCCAAAAAGGCCACATCACGTACTGACTTACTAAATGAAATTCTGACTGATACGCTTGGCATAAATAATAACCTATGCAACTGCCTTAAAGCTATAGTCCATCATTTGCAGCCATCCGAAAAGTAACTGGCGTAATTACTGTCGAAAAACAAACTTGGTTGAAAGATAGTAAGGGAACTAAACTCCCTGTGAAATTATTCTTTCTGGGAAGCTGTCATTTTGAAGTAATCAACGAAAGAAGGCATTTCCAACGGTGATTCTTAAGAAGCACCGTAGGAAAATTTAAATTAGTAGTTCGTTTTGTTATTCAGCGCAGCGCGCACAAGTATTGGAACGACGCACACGCGCGCGCAGTTATAATTTGTCGGATCAGTGCGCGACGCCGCGTATAGCTGCAATTCAAAACAATTCAAAACATGATTCAGTAACTTTTGATTTGAAATTGAGATCTTAGAATGCTGCTTTTCTCGGAATGTACAGCTGAAGCTTAGCTGAAACTTCATCAGGTTAGTTGCTCAGTGTCCTTCATTAGATTTTGAACACTTTTGTTGCTTCAAACGAACAAAATGCACTAATTACAAATGATGGACTATAGCTTTAACTGTGGACAAACTTTTTGGTCCGTTTCAACTAGGAAAGCCTGTATTACTTTACATTTTCTTTCCAACTTTGCAGCTAGTGTTTAAAAAAACAAAACGAAAGTGTGATATTATTATTGACTTACCAGTGCAGGCATCATCCAAATCACTCTTTTGGAACACGATCCGGCACTCCATGATGGCCGTGGTGTGAAACTGACAACGGAAGACCACATCCCGGGTAGTGGCCCGGAACTTCTTGTGGTAACACTTGACCAGGATGTCCCCCCTGATTGGCAGTGCCTGGCCCAACGTGATGGCAAATTGGCTTGTTCCTTCCGGCACTGAGCTGTAAGTAACATAATAGAGAGCAGTTGAAATTTTGTTACTGTTGCTGATTATAACTTTATGATTGCCTGAGTTACAAATCGTCACCGACACCACGAAGTAACACTCCACGTGTTACACAATATTTTTTTCAATGTTCAGTTTTATTTTACATTTTTAAACATTATTCATCAAGGCCTACCATTGCACAAAGTTTCAAAGCTTCAAGAGCTTTACTTTAATGCATGTAATTACGTTAATTATTCATGGCAACTTTTGCGCAAAAGTGAAAAATTTTCGTTTTCACAAAGTAACACTCAAGTTCCATTTACCACTGCAATGCATGGCGTGCACTCTGCTCAAATGTGAGCAAAAACGTTTTCAAGAAGTAACACTTTACTAAGTTGTATGAGTGCGCGCGCTGACCTGAAGTTGCACTTTTCTCGTGTTGTATAAATTGAAGAGTGTTACTTCGTGAAAACGAAAATTTACAGTTTCGCAACTTTTTCACTCACCTTTTTTCTCTTATTTCTTGTTGATTTAATACACAAACGGGTGAAAAACGGCAGATTTAATAAATTCAATTCATCAAGTGTCAACAACGAGAAACCCAACTGAAAACACTCTGCCGTTTTGACGCAAATTGTTGCTTTAGAAGGCGTTCAACTTTAGATGCCGTTTTCTCCGATTGCTAGTTTTTACTGGTATGTAGATGGGTGTTACTTCGTGGTGTCGCTGACAAAATGTGTTCAAAGGGCCAATGAACAAAGATTGGAACGGCTGAAAGTATGTTGTAGCCATAATATTGTAGATTAACCCTCCTGCTATTTAAACAGTCACAGATTTACACCCACTTCCCATGCTATACTTTTAACACTGGCTAGTCACCAGCAGCCAGATCATATGTCAAGCAAGCACTGTGACCTGTCAAACTCAGTCAACAGACCAGGAACAGACAGAGCAGGCAAGTTGTGGTCACAGCTGGCTTATCAATCACTCGGAGACAAAGCATACGGTAGCTGTTCATGTACCAAGTTACATGAACAGTCATGGCCAGTCAATACTACTTTATGCAGTTGCTAAGCTTTAAAAATGTTACAGTTACAACCAAACATTTTTTTTTTGAGTTTGTATGATGTCTCCAAACCACTTACATGTATGTACACCAATTAAAACAGAAATGGTTATTCGCTAACAGTCACAAAGCACAGCAAAAGAGAGCATACTCACTATACTCCAGATGTGAAGATGGGCTGCATCCCTTGATATACTCTCAGGAAGGGTCTGCAACCTACATTTTTGTAAACCAAAAGAAATCAAAAGTGCTATCAGCAATATTGTTTCACAGGTCATGGCATTATGAGCAACGATAAAAATATCCATGCAAGCACAAGCATCAGAACATGTACACAGTACTAGTGCATATATGCTTGAGGTGGGTACAATTATTTCTGCTGTAGTGAGTCCAAATACTACTACTGGTTAAGCAGCACCGTGAAACTGCACAATATGGAAGAGTTAAGCTTTAAAGATATAGTCCATCATTTGTAATTTGTGCATTTTGTTCGTTTGAAGCAACAAAAGTGCTCAAAATCTAAAGAAGGGTACTGAACAACTAACCTGATGAAGTTTCAGCTCAGCTTCAGCTGTACATTCCGAGAAAAACAGCATTCTAGGATCTCAATTTCAAATCAAAAGTTGCCGAGTCATGTTTTGAATTGCGCCTGAATTCAGCGTCCGAGACACGTTCTCGCTAAGCCGATTGCAGCTACGCGATGTCGCGCACTGATTCGACGAATTATAGCAATCGGGGGTGCGTGTGCGTCGTGCCAATGCTCGCCGAATAACAAAACGAACCACTAATTTAAACTTTCCTACGGTGCGTCTTAAGAAACACCGTTGGAAAGGCCTTCTTTTGTTGATTACATGTACTTCAAAATGACAGCTTGCCAGAAAGAATAATTTCACAAGGAGTTTAGTCCCCTTACTATCTTTCAACCAAGTATGTTTTTCAACAATAATTACGCCAGTTACTTTTCGGATAGCTGCAAATGTTGGACTATAGCTTTTTAAGTGTCAAGAAAAGCTCATGGACTGCCAATGCATGCTCTCAGTACATGCACCTTCAACTTGTCGTCTCAATACTCTGTACAAGTTGAAACTATAACTCAGAAAACCTACCTCCATTGATGTCATAGTTAGGCACGCCATGGATCAGCACATGGTGCAAGAACAGCGGTGCACTGTTGACTTGTATTGACTTGGTGAGTAGTCCCGTGAAGTAGTTGACGTAGCGATGCTGGGACGGGTGCATGGACGACTCTGTCTTAGCCTCCATGAAACGCTTCATAGCATACCGATCCATGGCAGTCTCAGCGCTGGACGTCAGAAACAAAACCTTTTTATTCGTCCTCACCACCCATGATTTACATAGACATTAACTAACCTGGGATGTGTTCCACTTACCCGAACAACAAAAACGTTGCTACCGATTTCACATTGGCTATTCACACACAGTATCGGGAATGTTGGCAAACGTTTGCATTCTTCAAATAAGTGGAACACATCCCGGGGCTCAATTTCACGACTAATGAAGAACCTGCAAGGACTTTTGCAGAAAATGCATTCGCATACTTCTAGGGTAAACACAGATTGGCTTGTGAACATGCCTACATCTGGCAACTCAGGAGTCTGTGCTTACAAGGTTAGCACAGAATTTCTCTGCTAAGCGCTGTAAGCAGAGAATGGTGGCCCCAGGTGCAACCTTCTGTGATAAGCAAAGCCTGTAGACGGGGCCTGAGCGTGTTCAGTGAAAACTTTATCGTTTTCTTGCCATTAATGTGGATGATACTGGAGAGGTTTCTCACCCTCATCCTAAATCTCTGGACTCACTTAAGCGACAAAGGCAAACTCTGGACCTGACTTTCTCTACAAATGTGTCAACTCTTCCTTTACTTGCAATTTGATTTCTTGTTTCCTCGTTGAAGATTCCCTGTTCCGATCTCCATAATTGTGATGCAAGGTCAGCTACCGTGTATTGAAGAGTCTGGACACGAGTGAGCTTTATTCATTTTATTTGTCTTCTAATAAGGGAATAAATATGTGCTCGGCCGGTTTTAAACAAGTACATTTAAAACCGGCTAGGGGCCTGGACACTGACAATGGCTCGAGCTGAAGGCAAGGGCCTTTATCCGCGTCCAACGAGGCCTCTAACCATGCTAACCAGTTTTAAACGTACTTGTTCAATACTGGTCACGACTTATTTATTCACATTCATAAATACCTTTCAGTCAAAATGTCAAAACAAGTCAAGAATTCACAAATTTCCAACGATTTTGTTTAACAATTTTACTTCATGTTTTGTGAAACACCCCTCTGGCCATATCTATGGTATGTGCCTCGCACGCGTGGTGCTAAAAATATACTTATAATTGGGGTGCGAACGGCATGTACTGCGCGTTGTGGTGCAGAATGCAGCGGTGTTTCACCGGCAGCTTAAAACCACCCACGTGACGGGCTTTCGACCAATAGGAATTGGTAAACTGTCTCAGGTATTTATGAATATTTTTAATGTCTAAATTTTAAGTACGCACGTATTTTGGAAAAGTTGGAGACATCCTATTGGTCAAAGGAGCATTGAGGGTGCCCGTTGCATGTCGCGCACATGGGTGCTTAAAATTTCAGAACACATGCAATGTGCGCAGTGCTCTGCTGTCACTTCTTCTTCTGGTCACTGGATTAATGGTTTGGGGGATTTAAGAAAGCTGAAATCAATCAGCTTAACTTAAACCAAAATTCGAGCAACGGATGGAATCATTTTTTTTTCTCCAGACTTACCTTGAGGTGATATTGATGTAATTCATGTAGGCCAACACCACTACTCCAATTGGGCCTCTTCCACCCTGCAAGAACATGAATGTTGTCTGGGATTACATACATGTACTTGGCATTCGTATTTTGCAAGTGAAATCCGATGAGATGCAGTATTTCCCCGTAAACAATTTTCAGTTGAACCCCAAAAAATTACCAAGTCACAATTCAAAACTGATCTAATGACAGAACCAGCTTCAAGAGTTTTGGCTTTTCTAAATTTGTCTACTCTCCAACACTTGTTTTTCTTAAAACAAGAAATTATTCCTTACATATTCATGCTCATTATAAAGGCAGCCCCGTCGGCAAGTAAGACGAAAAAACAAAACAAAAAAAAACCCACGTTAGCACGGTGGTGCTTTCCTTGCTTTTCGCCTGTGACCCGGGTTCAATATCCCGCCTAAACTGACAAATGCATTGAGTTTTCAGTTTCTACCTGATTTGTTGGTTTTCACAAGATAATATGTGTCTACAGTTTTGTCCCCATCTTAAACTTTTACATTTCTCCATTGACTTCTTTCTACAGGTTTCTTCCGGCTTGCGGGCTACAGTACCCTTAAGGCATCAAAGGAATCCCCTTGTTAATCCTTGGTTTCATTACAAAACAATCACAGATATCACAATTGTGTGTACATTGTACCTTACAATGTAGTACTACCACATTATGGCTGTCAGCTTTCAACCAGGTCTCAATGTGTTTGCAGATGCTGCAAAGCTTCTCTAATGACGGCGCGAGATGGTCCGGCCAGCCAAGATCATACACCTGTGTTGTACATGAATGAGTTCAAACTAGTGTATTAACCAAATATGGCCAATGCATTTGCATTCATCACAGACTTACAAGTTAAGTTGACGAGGGTGACTGGATGTCAGGAAAGGTTTTCATGTGCTTCTTGTATATTTAAAGGGAAGATAGAACATTTGCAAAAGTCAAAAAACAAGTTGATCAAATTACCACAAAATTCTTTACTGGACTGTTAGGGAATGACAGTCTAAAGCATCCCGTACAATCATGGCTCCTGGTGTGCTGACATGTTTAAGTAAAGTGGTAATTTTTTTTCCATTCCAGTGCTGGTCGGAGAAAACTGGCTTTTTTTTCTTCAAAAACTGCTCCTTATTTTTCATATTCTGCATTTTCTTTGCAATTGATTACACACTGATTCTCTGACCTCATAATTCCTGAACGTCTATAAATTGCTTTGTTTCATCTTGAGTGGGGTCAGGGAACCAGACTACAAGAACATGACTGGTTTTCTTGTTTTTTTTCACCATCTACGAACCCAAAACGTGATAACAAGTCAGTGTAACAATATTTGCTCTAACATACTATTCCTCCAAATCCATTTATTCCTAAAAATTACAGCCAAAACAAATGTTGTACATTCCCTTCAATGAGAACACAACCACTGTTCAACTGGCCTTTGTGAATAATTAACACAGAGTTGAAGTGAAGGTCGTCAATCTTAAGTGCCAAGTTATTCAAATCATCTGTGACAAAGGCAAAGCTTTGCAATAGACCTTTATCAGGGAACACCATCTTCAAAATCAAAGCGAGGTATATAACGCAAACAAACATGTCAATAGTGTGTACGGTGAAGGAGTGACTCCCGCAAAGTTACAGCAGATTGATACTCTATAAATGGATGGATCTGCTCAAATACCCCAAAACATCAAACAACATTCTAGGTGGGTCACGTCTTATTGTATTTTGAAGAAGGATATAATCACTTTAATAAGGTCTATTGTTCATCCCCAGTTACTTGTGTCCCAACTTGTGATTTGACCTACGATTGACGAAGCTATTTCAGTTAAACTCAAGACAAAATTGATTGTGTCCTACATCAAAAATGGTCTCTTGTTAATGCCTTGATAACTGTGTCGTTACTTTTGATTTGTCTTGTGACTGACTTGTGATTTGACTTAATTGTTCAAGTTCAACTTGACAGAGACCAAATGACCTCCACCGAAAATGGTTTAACAATGTTGCTAATCGTCTGTAAGCAAAAGACTGACAAGTGATTTGACTTGCGATTGACCTGATTAGCAGAATTAAACCAACCCTGTCCTATACCAACCTGAGGACTGAGTTGTTTGATGTCATGTCGCTTCTGGGACAGATTGAAGACGACATACTTGTCTTGATGCTTACTTCTCAGCATTCTCACCACATCCCGGAGGTTGCTGCGGTACTGGGCCTCCAATCCACCCGCTGGAAAGGAAACAGCTGATGAGGAAAAATAAAAATTTAAAATAGGAGACTTGAATCTGTTCTCGAACCATGTTATAACAACTACTCTAAAAGACGGAAGTGGAAAAAATAAACTTAAATAGCCTGAAAAATAGGGGGGGGGGTGTCAGGAACACCATTGCCCAATTGTCTGTAGAGTAATACTCAAGATATGTGTTTAATTCTGTAGAATTTTGGCTAAAGTAACAACCTTATACGGTCCACAGAAGAAAAGGATGCAAAAAGATCCTAGCCAGCTTCAATGCGATGATATGGAATAAATACATGTACCGGTATGTGCTTGGCCGGTTTTACCAGTTCACGCCGGGATTATTTTGACAAGAACGGAGAGAGGACGGGGTTAAAGCCATCACCCTTGGGCAGCACACTCGTATTTCAGGGGTTGCTCCCTGCGAGCGGGTCACCGACACATATTTCTAGCCTCACTCCCTGCATGTTTATCCGTCATCCGTTCCGAATACCGCAAAACCTTTGCGGGTATACACGTCATCCGGTGCGAACTGGTTAAACAAGTATGTTTAAATCCGGCTAATAAGACCCCAGCCGAAGGATCAAACAACCCTCTTGCCATTTCTAAGGTATGTGCCTCATGCACGTTTTCCTTTTAATTAGATCGGAGCACGCGGCACATACTGCGCGACGTGGCACAGAATGCAGTGGTGCAGGAATTTTGTGTTTAAAACCAGTTGGTGTTTAATCAGCGCTTTAAAACCACCCCCGTGCAAAGGTCTCGAACAATAGGAACAAGTAAACTGTCATACATGTAGGTATTTATAAATAATGTATTGAACCATGCACAATGTATTTACCGATCAGCCTTTCGGTGATGTAATCCACATCCAGATCGAATGAATACCTGATGTAGGAATCCCCAACACTACAAGAAAAAAAAAACCAAGAAAATAAGAATTGTCAAATTGGCAGCAGCCAGTGCACACTGCCTGTCACATTGCACACTACCGGGTACCTGTTTTGTGTACTTTTTGGGAACCCTGAGTTTTCTTATTTAATAAATCTTGCACTGGATAAAGTTTTTGTGTCGGTTTTTCAGAACCAGTCAAGCGAAACCAAACAGAAAATTGGTGAAATGCATAACTTTTCACTGAGGACCTGGGCCAAATCCCTTCTTACTGTAGCAGAAAATTATGTGCTTACAGTTAATACGGTATTTCACGGGTAAGTGAGGAATGTTGGGTTTTGCACATGCGCACATCCCATAACTAAGGATTCGGTACTTACAGGGATAACACAGAATTTTTCTGCTAGCGTGGTTAGGGCGAAAAGGTGATGGTAAGCACGGAATTGGGCCCAGCTTGGCATCAGTACCATCTATTGGGGAATCACATGTACACATTTACAAAAATGTACAATGTATGTAAACTTATTTACCTGGGTTGCCTTGCGATCTCTGCGTGCACGTGAGTCGTCATTTTGTTCCTATTACTGTCTGTGTGTTGGCTGCTCTGTGGGACAAAAAAACAACAACAAGGAAACGTGAATAATGGGAATATCATGTTATTTATCATGTTATTTGATTATTCCAACTTGGACTCGATCGAGTATTCCAATATTCAAAGTGTGCTGAACAAGTTTAACATCATACACCAACCTAAACTACGTAGCTGCCAATCTGGATTGCATGTTCCTTCCATTGTTGAAAATTGACAAAGATCTTATTAAAAGTAATATTGAGAAGAAGCAGAATGGCTGATATTTGATAGAATAAAGAAGAAATTTAAGCTTATATCCCTCACAGAAACTCTCAAGTCATGCGTGAAAGTGGATTTCCACAAAAGTGAGGCATTTGAAAAACAATAAAACCATGAAATTGAGGAAATTTTGGGGTAACACCATGTGGAAAGAAATCTCTTCTTGGAAGATGTGTGGTTCTGAAAAGAACCGGTTGGTTGAGTGTACAACTCAACGTTTTGGAGAGTGTGCTCTGAGACTCACCCTCCTGAGGAGGACAGAGCACACTGTCCAAAACGTCGAGTTTACACTCAACCAACCGGTTCTTTTCAGAACCACACTTCTTCCAAGAAGAGATTTCTTTCCACATGGTGTTACCCAAAAAGATTCCTCTATTTTATCTCATCCGCCATGCAAAGCTTCAAGTCATATATAAATAAAACCATGCTTCTGAAATACGATTAAAAGAACATCTTAGACTTTTGTCATGATCTCCTCGAGACCTCTCACATATTTCAAATAACTGAATTGACTGAATTATTAAAAAAGCTATTTGAATATTCGGTTGATGAACTCCACTCTATCCACTCTTTTTTTGAAAGATCTTTCTTGTTGTTATCCATTCTGCCTAAAACATGTAGTTAAATTGCATTTAAATTTTTTCAACTAAAAATGTAAGCTTGTTTTGATAACTTGGGATTCACGTCTACAGGTCTGTACCCCAGAATTGGTATCATCAGAGGTGCCTCGATCATTTGCTCAAAGATCCTCATGATTCTCAGTGTTCAAATTTACTGCCTAAGCGGTTCATGTTTCACAACAGACAGAACATCTGTGTGAATCAATATGGCAATATCCCATCCATGCCATTCAAATGTCAAGGTGAACAGACAATATTCAAATTATGGTCACAACTCATGACATATTGCGTGGAATGCGAGACATCTCACTGTCAATATATCATGACTGCCCGGGATATGCCACCGCCGTAGAAACTATTCCACCAAAGTGACAGCATAAACAATAAATCATGTATAAATGCACGTTCTTCTCTCTTGCTTTTTTTATGGATGCTTAAACTCTGATCTTGTGCAAAAATGTTTGAGAAAAAAAAATAGTTTGTAGTTTAATTAAAATCCTCACCCAATTTTGGTACCAAATGATACTTACAGTGTAAAATGAGCATGCTATTACAAAGTGACAAAAATTAACGTACGTGTACTGTAGAATGCAAGGACCCATAGGCCTATCCTATAGCACCACATTTTAGTCAAACATGTGCATTTTCATGTGGTACCGGTACATTGTTTGCATGGACACGATGGTGAGCATGTAGTTGCATAATCTGTGTCAAATTATATATCTTCTACAAATACATGTATCTGTTCCTCTTACTTCGGCACAACTCTTATGGAAATATTTCTGCTGGTATGGTATAATTTTGAAACCATGGCCCTTTTTAAGTGGTCCAGTAGAAATTTACCTGAAATTTAAGCCCTGATATTATACAATGGGCACTTGCACCACATTAATAAGGTAGAATTTATTACCATGTACATGTAACTGCTGCATGTAAGTGCACTCAATGTATTTGGAGAGTAACCAGTAGCCTCAAGACTCAGGAAGTTGTTGATCAACTTCTAGTGCATAAGATGAACTACAAATGTACACCTAAATATTAACTACATGGATTTCATGCACAAGTACCTGTACTAAGGATGTGACATTGCGTGTAATTTTGTAAACGTTAAACAAATGTTATAAAAGCGTGTAAACGTTTAACCATTTAAGGTTGATGCCTGCCCATTATGTCTGCACACCAGCGTGACTGACATAATAAATCAACACTAAATGACATAATAAATAGCGGGGACTCATTGAAAGAATACAAACTTAACTACATGTACATGTACATGTACCTCGAATGCAATCGAGTACTGTAGCACTTTTTGTGAATTAAAAAGGTTTGAAAAACATTGTTAATTATTTGTGCTATGTATGTTAACTTAAAGGAAGATCGCGTGAAAGTAGGTCCCTTTTTCATAATTGGGGTTTCGTTTAAACGTTTTGGAAAATTTGTAAATGGATTTAGATTTAAACGTGTAAACTTCAAATCCTTAACAAGTACATGTACCCCTTCAATGGTTCCAAACCGGGAGTTAGAGGAGACCACAAGGGGGATTTTTTCTTTTTTACTGTGCCTGCTGCTCACGCAAAGACCTGATGTTTGTGCACATTCAGATAACAATTTGTTGGGTGTACATGTACAATACTTTGATACAGGTACATTATACATGTACACCTCAGGCACAAAAGAAACTGCAGAAGCAGTTTTTATGATCATCCTTGTTTGGCTCTTCTGGTTCAACTTGATATCTCACTTGGGAACACTGTGTAAAAAATAACGAGAGCGAAAGCACCGAAGCTCCTGAAACCCCTGAAACCCCCAAACTAAAAGTTGCACTTAGCGAGATCTTCAATGGGCATTGCAACACACAATAATTGAATGCAATGATGCAGACCCCCATTCAATTGTGTGTTGCAATGCCCATTGAAAATCTCGCTAATAAAGTGCAACTTTCATATTGGGGTTTCAGGAGCTTCAGTGTTTGCGCTCTCGTTATTTCTTACACAGTGTTCCCAAGTGAGGTATCAAATTGAACCGGAAAGTTTCCGTGACAAAACCTATATTTCAGATTTTTTGTTCACCGAGAAATGTCCAAACAAGGATGATTATAAAAACTGCTTTGTTTCTTTTTGTACCAGATGTACATGCAGGCACAAAAACCAGTGCGTGCACACACACAATGTGTCTCGATCCCCCATTGGAGGTCTCAAAAGTACATTGTATAGCTCCATGATTGTAGTCACTAGACCCATCTCCTGTTCATGCATGGATTCTATTTGTTCAAAGGAGTTCCAAACGCAATTTTTTTTAAGAAGACACAAAACTGCAGGTAAATCACCCATGTACATGTGCACTTTGAATCATTTTCTGTATCTGTGAAGCACCTCTCCAAAGTTAATTGACTAATGTATATGTCATGAACCAAAATAGAAAAGTTATTTAAAAATTAACAACCAAAAGTTGATAACAACAACACGGTTGGGTGAAAAGGGCAGAGGTAATTCAAGAACAAATGCTGTCACTGGAGGTCTACATATTTGTGTGGGTGCTAGGGTGGGCCTACATGAACATGTACATGTAGGTGGGGGTATTTTCTTTAGGAAGAAAGATGACTGGATGTTTGGATGCCCCAATGAATTATGAATTGTTCAAGTAATGTACATATTTAATGAGGATGGATCTACATGTAGGTTAAGAATCAAGACACCATTTTTGATTTTGACTTCACAGCAAATTCTGAAACCGTTTCCAAATCCTGGCAAAAAAACCTCATGAGAAGAGATATTTTGTTTTTGTGCCTTAAGTTAATGGTATCAAGTTGACTCATACCGGTCCATACATGTACGGTACATGCAGTCTTTGCTCTTTGCTCAGACAAAAGTAAAATTGAACTTGAAATTCAACTTACTAATTTGATTTGAGTTGGTTGTGGTCTCTTGTCACCGTTGCTGGGCTGTAATAGTAAAAAAAAAAAGGTCACATTTTGAAAATTACAATATTTAATACATCTGTGAATACATAAACAAGTGTTTAAGATGGTCATCCAAGCAGTTTGGATTGTTTGAAGAAGAAATTTTCCTGCAAACAAACATATACCAAAAAAACACCAAAGACCGTAAAAAAAACAGGTTAGTCATCTTTTGGCACCTTTCCAGCAAAAACACAGCAGGGAAGTTTTGACCAATCAGTGATCTACAAAAACTTGGATGAAAGCAGACACTAATTGGGTGGCCTTTGACAGTGTGTGTTGCAATCCTGGCTGCCAAAGTTTGGACTGCTGTGACTTGGTCTGGTTCACGTACGGTATCAGCTGCACGTAACAGCGGAGGTGAATGAACTACCATACTTAGTATGGTCTTTATATGCTTACTGTACATGTATTTGAATAAACACAATGTAATAAAATTAATTTTTCATGGATTTATTGTTATTATTATAATACCAGCCTTCCAGTGGTAAAAATAAATCAGCGTATTGCATGCTTTCGTAAAAAGTACATGTATCTGGATGACTGCAATATTACATGTATGTCAGTAAAAGTACCAGGATGAGGACAATATTATTTTTTGATATTGTCCTCATCCGGTCATACAAACATGTTTAAACAAATTTCGCTGGTTCCTGAACAATTACATGTAAGAGTGTAGAAAGTCACAGTTGTCAACCAGTCAACAACGCCTAGCGCAGTAACGTGGCGCAATTCACTCCATTTGTATACATGTAAGTACATTGTACATGTACATGTACTTGTAAAAGTTTATCTTCATTACAAACATGCAGATTTCCAACCTGTAACTTTGCATATGTGGCAAGCGGAACATTTGTTACATTGTGATGGTCCCAAATCAGATCATTTACATACAGAGGATACAGTCATTCTAGAAAGTCTACATACAGTAATCCATACCTGTCAAAACTATCCCAGTGAATTTGACAGTCTAGAAAATATAATATGACGCTTGGGGCTCCTATGGTAACACAATACACAAAAATAGTAATACCCCAAAAATTCCACAGACCAGATGTTGCCATCTGTCATTCCTAAAATATCTGTGTAGTCTGATCCGCTTTGGTATCGGTTGTGATCAGCGAGGGCCTGAACAAATGAATCATCAGTCCATGACCAATTATTGAAGAGAATCCTGAAATATCATCTGTTGAAATTTGGAGTATTTTTATCTGCATCTACTGGTACGTGTACATTGTAAACCCTGATAACGAATTATGGAGGACAATTTGTTTGGTGGACTGTTAAAGTGTTAACAAGTTGGTGCTCAAAAACTTTCATTTTTAACAATGTCCAAAGATATATAGTAGAACACTTTATATTCAAAATTTGAAATGTACCGGTAGCCTATTCATCTGTTAGGCCTACTTATCCTAAACTTCTTTTTGTGTGATGTCTCATTGGAAAGCTCAAAACTTATCTAATGCTAAAAAATGGAACTAAAACATGAAACATGTCTTTTCTTCAGAAGGCATAATTATTTTGTTTATGAAATTTAAACAGTAATTACTTTTTAATATTGACATGCACACATATTGGTACATGTAATGGCATTCTGGGTCAAAATTTATCTTCATTTTTATCTTTTGTTTTGCATGAGTCTGTATACCGGTATGTGTAATTTTTTTAAGGCTTTATCATAGTAATCGCTTTACCCACAGAGTTCAATGTAAACATTCTTTGAAATTTGCTTTTATATCTGCGAAAAAAACCCCTAGATTTTACACGTTCATGTACCTGCCACAAAGTTAATTCTTATCATCACTGTTTTGATTAGCTTTTCAAAATCATAAAGTTCGACTCTACATTTGCAAACATCAAAGAACAAAACTACTGAAATCATTATGAAATACCTTACTTGACTGTAAGTGAATAATAGTCTCAAGCATCCTGTGAAATCATGACACCTGGTGAGCTGTCATTTTCAAGAAAAGTGAAATTTTTGTATCCGTTTCTAACATGGAAAAAACATGACTTTTTTTCAAAAACTGAGCACTCCCAATTTACCAAATTTTAGTTAGTCCACATTTTGTTTGCCATTGGTTTATACACATCTTTGAATGGGTGCAAGCCAGCTAGTCTGGTTTCCTGACCTGACAATTCTCAGGCGTCTACAAATTGCTCTGTTTCGTCTAAAGTAGGGTCTGGGAATCAGACTACAAGAACAGCATAGTTTGATCTTGGTTTTCCCAGCATCTATGAACACAAAACTTTACTGGTCAGTGTAACAACATTTGCTATAAAATACTAACCCCCAAATCAATCAACTTTTGAAAATTACAGCAAAAACCAACAGATTGAAGGCTTTAAAGCAAAAACATATCAATCTTCTGAACTGCTGCTGATTTCCTGTTTTGTGACAAATTTTTATCAAGATTCATAATCTCATACTTTTCAACAGACAGGGGTCCAGCTTGTGAACAATTTGGAAATCTCCATTGCTTAGTCTTTTTCATCAATTGCCAAGCCCTCATGCTGAGATGGCTCCCCAAGTTCTAGATTAAAATCCTCCAAACTGCTCACAGGCTTGTGAAGCAGAAATAATGTCAGGGATATTAAAAAAATATTGGCCACAGAAAACTACTAGTGTTAAGTGGGCTGGGAGACACTATCACAGCGGGGATGGAGGAGTGTAAGGCCAGATACAAATCATGTCTTCAGGGAAATCAATCTTGGAGTCCCTCAGTACATGATTATTGCCGTCTGTACAGAGGTCTACTACCTGTGAAACACCTTTCAAGTGCAATAACATACACAAAAAAGTACTTTCAAAGCGTCTTGAATGATGTCTTTTATTGATGATAGTACAAGTATTTAGTAGCCTACATGTAAAAACTTGGTGCAAAGGCAAGTGCCCAAAAAAATGAATTAAAGGGCATCAGTCTTAAGCTACACATTTGCAATTCAGGCAATTTCATCACAAATGTTGAATTGCTTTGTAAATGTATTACATATTTTTATATTTGCATGAAGTAAAGATGGTAATGCCTTACTTAATGCATGGACTTAAAATACAACCAAAGTCATTTCAAGCACTGCACGGGGACAGGTTTTATAATAAAGGTTCATGCAGGCCTATGTATAATTTCAATTTAGTGATTTGGGGAAATCATTTCAAAACCCAGTTATCCTAATTGTGTTCAAACATTCAGCTCAAAGTCATGCCAACAAAAAGTGACGAGTGAGTTGCCACATGGTCTGCCTTCCACAGTGATTTGGTATAGTTTGCTGGAATGAATGACCACTGTGCCTTATTACCAAAACAGTCCAGAGCTGTCATGTTGAACAAAATGGATGGGAACGGGGTCTACCCGATGTTCCCCAATACCTATGTTCCCCAATATCGATGTTCCCCAAAATACTTAGGATTAGGGTTAGGTTTAGGACTAGGTTTAGGTTTATAGGGTAAGGATTTCGGGGAACATCGGTATTGGGGAACATAGGTATTGGGGAACATAGGTATGCACCTGATGGGAACTCTCTGATCAGACAAATGGGCAGGCTATACAGGAGTTAAGAAGACTGTTAGCGAGTGAATGCACTCCAATCTCCATGCAGTTACAGTATTCAGAGACCATGGAACAAATTCTTTAGCTTGTGTCACAAAAACTAGAAGGGCCAATTATTCTTAGGTTGGTTTCCAAAATCTAAACCAAACAGTGGAATTCAAACCAAATTTTTAAAATCTGGATTTTAATCCCGCCACCATTTCAATTCTTGATCTAATATGAAAAGAAATAAAAGCTGTGACCACCCCCCCCAAAAAAAAACCACCCACATTTGATGACACTTCAGCAGAAATCACTTACACATCTAGAGAAAAAAAAAGCATCCTGAATTACAACAGTGAGTTCAAACTCCTCACACCCCCCCCCCCAAAATCAAACATGGGTCAAGTCAACAAAAAACTTGCAAAGTAAGATGCTTTGGGTGTTCAACTACTTGTCCCTGCCTTGAGCACTGAACGTGAAGGTATGCGCACATGATGACCTGCATATAAATAATTGAATTACAACCTGAAGGTGCAGGGAACTTTGACCAAACTTTGGCCCCTGATGATAATCCTACCAGTATATCACCAATTTCTGTTGATGTTTTTTTCAAGTGTAATAAATAGTTCCCACCTTTGTTTGAAAAGAAGCCATTTGTTCAAAAGAAGTCTTACCCGCAACCATAGTGAAACGGACAAACCTAAGGGGAGCTAACAAGTTTTTTGGGGTTCCTGTTTTTTGAAAATGAAGGACAAAACTCACCAGTGCATAATTTACTGATGGCTTACATGCTGCTGCGACCTGTAAAATACAAGAAAAGAAATACACAGAAAACAACACCATTAGAAAAAAATTATGTACCCGTATGTTAACATAATTTGTCATTATTTAAGAGATCTTGATAAGAGCTTGAAACGGGGCCAAATTTCAAGAGGTGCCTTACGAGGAAAATACTGCTTATGTGCCAAGCAAAAGTCATTAGAAAAAATTATGTACCCGTATGTTAACATAATTTGTCATTATTTAAGAGATCTTGATAAGAGCTTGAAACAGGGCCAAATTTCAAGGAGTGCCTAACGAGAAAAATACTGCTTATGTACCAAGCAAAAGTCATGCAGTGTACATGTACATATGTACATTGTGTATTTTAGCTGGAAACTTGTTGTACTAGGCATAAATTTATATTGTCTATGCTTAGAAGTTGCATGAAATAAGCCCGGGCTGTTCTTTTAACCCTAATTCTTTAGAAATGAAGTCTCCTGAATCTTCCCTAATCCATCACTGTGCAGGAAAACAATGGTACTTTGTACTCTAATGTTCAAGGGAAACCAAGCCCATACTACTACTACATGTACTGTACCTTCCTCATTCTTTCAAAATCCTCCAAAACTCCTTGGAGGATTTGAAGAATCTGGGAGAGTTACATACCTGGGTCAAGAATGATTAAGGGAATAAATATGTGCTCGGCCGGTATTAAACAAGTACTGGTACGTTTAAAACCGGCTTGGGGTCTGGACGCTGATAATGGTCCAAGCCGAAGGCGAGGGGCATTATCAGCGACCAAGCCCATAGTTGGTTTTGAAACGTACTTGTTTTAAATACCGGCCAAGCACATATTTATTCCCATTCATAAATACCTTTCCGTCAAAAAGTCAAAACAAGCAAAAATTATAAATTTCCAACGATTTTGTTCAACAAGTTTAAGTCATGTTTCTTTTAAATACCCATCTACCATAGCTGTGTTTATGGTATGAGATTGTCGCGAGTAGTAATAAAAATCCCTATTCACACTACTAAAAATATCCTTAGACATGTGTGGAGATTGTCGCGCGTATGGTGCGTACTGCGCGATGTGGTGCAGAACGCGGCGGTGCCGGTGTAGTGTGAATTTAGGATGAAATACGGACTCATTGGTAGTATTGCACATTTCTAAGTGAAGGTTGTGATCATTCAAACAATAAAAGGGACCAGATTTCATGGGAGTCCAAATTTTATTCACATTCATGAAAACCTGAAATGTTTTAAATAAAAGGAGGATGTGCTATCCGACAAAAGCTTAATGTGTGCAGTTTTCGTATGAATCTGACAGAAGAAATGGAGGACAGATTTACCATACTGCACATGAACATTTGCTGTAATATCTCACTGTCAAGAGAAAATTTGTTGGATTTGACTTGAATATAGTCAAACTTTCACCCAGATGACCATATCTTATGGTCAGCTGGTTGGAAGTTCAACTGTTTTCTGGTCAAAACTAGAGTTTTTCAGAGTGTCTGATGAAAGCCCAAGTAATCCCAAAGACTCGGCACTTGGACTTCATCAAACTGAAAACCATCAAAAACAAATTTGTCCACTCACCGGCATGGAGCCCTACATACGTACATGGTACAATCCAAAGTCACTGTGAAGTACCAACTGTACGTGTCCATCAACTCGGTTTATATAAAGGTGCAATCCACATCCAATACAGATCGCCTCAAAAACCATTCAAATTAAAGGCAGATACTGATCTAATCTCAGATGAACTTGGACGGTTCCACGCCAGAAAAGGAAGACCTCACCAATGCGTGTATATATTCCAAAACGCCAGGCCAGACTGTTTAGACAACCCAAGACAAACTTGACTGGGCTTTCACTAACACTGCACGCACAAACTTACAAACGGCAGTGCACAAGGCCAACGTAACCAGGCCCCACAGTAAACATAGACAAATATGGAGAGAGCCCGCTATGCAGATTCTTTGCATGCTTGCTGATGACTTGCTGCTGACTCTCTCTCCCACATCAGCCAAAGGGCTGCAATCCAATCTCCCAATACGAAACTCCAATGAGAACCATCTGCAAGACATTGGAATATTCTAATTTTTTTTTTTCTTGGGAGTGTAAAGGACACACAGATGATATTTTGATTGGATTTAGGACAGATGGGAATCCCATACTATCCGAACCAGCCCAAGTGTAACTAGTTTTGATTGGACAATGCTTTAGGAATTTTTATCAATGCAAATTTATCTTCAGACTAATACAGAAAGTGCTTCAGCAGCTGATGACCGACCAGTAAAATTAAATTGTCTGTGTGTACAGTGAGAGTCAATGACATACACTGTAATTGTCCAAAATGTCAAACTGGGAAACGGAAGGTACAGTACTCACAGAAATGCTTGATTATAATAATGTGCCAGTCCTTATCAGTACAGCGCGTGTCAATAAAAACGCAGGATTCAAACCGATTTTTTTTCTGAGAAAATTATGCTACTGGTGTGCCTAATTTGATAAGGATTTGATTGTCCATAATTTCATCTTTGACAAGATTTTTGTTTGGTGGAATTTGGACTTTTGGTTCAAAAGTTATGACAAGTTTTGTGAAGCCCTTCTGAAGCGGGTTGGTCTGATTCAATGACCTTAACACAACGACCAGTTATGTACAATGCAGGTATGCATTGAAGACAATTAAACCAGAACAAAACTTTCTTTGAAACAACTGATGATAAGTATCACTTAAATTTAATAACTGGACTATCATTGTTTCAAAGCATCATGAATTATTGACTAATAACATTGATTGTGGACTAAAGGATTATGTAAGCCTAATCCTGCCACACATGTCCTTCTTTGTGATCCACAAATACTTTCACCTGTACTGAATTCAAACCTTTCATGAGGTATGAGTGATTTCACAAATCAGACCAGCTTGGAATTTATAACCCTTCTTCAATGTTCTTCTCTGGACAGGATTGTCCAAATGAGATGGGATAAAAAGCATAGTGAAGAGAAGGAAAGGTACTTTGAAAAGAGGGTTAACATTATGATGAATAGGGGTGGTTTATATTCTTAATATTTTTGTTTCTAATCCTGCGTTTTTATTGACACACGCTGTATACCGGTACATACAATGTACACGTAAATACTAAAGTTTACACCTATTTATTAGGCCATGAGACAAGTTTTCTGCAGCAGCTTGACATCAGCTCTATAGGGGTGTGCATCGGAACCGGGTACCAAAGCAGCCAACCGCTGATGTCAGGAACCAGTTCCAGATTATGGGATTGGGTATCCATAACCAACTTTACAAATTACTAAGTAACTTCTCAGACAATGAAAAAGAAAGGTTTTGAGTGCCATTTGTTGGGAATTTTCAAAATGAAAACCAGGCTACACGGAAAACCAAAACAAATTTCACATTGATGTGCATTTTAATGCGCGACATACATGTATGACGCTTGCGAAAGTTGAAATTTTTGCTCCACAAAACTGGTATTTGCCTTCCACAGTTCCAGAATAATATGTAATTGGGAAAATGAATATAAAAATTCATCGTAAATGAAATGGTTCTCTGATGCCATAAACACTATTGTAAATATTCAGTTCTGTCTGAGAGTTTCTAAGAGAAAAATTCACAAGCTTGCTTTGACGGGACTCGAACCAATGACCTCCTGCTTTCTAGTTAGACAGACGTCTTAACTACTCAACCGCTGAGCTTGCGGGGGACGGGGGTCCACTGGCCAGTTGAAACGTGAGTAGCTACATGTACAATCAATATACATGTACTACTCAATCACTTCCACACATGGATTTTAGTTTTAGGCAAATTTTGTGGCAACATACAGTAATTTTTTTTTCAGTTGGCACAACTGAGAAACGTGACATGCATGCCTTAATTTATCACACAAGCAAACTACGGTAAGAGTTTCCGAAGCCCTTTAATAAGGCTGCGAAATTACTGAAGTGAGAAATCTAACATACGGTAGCTGTATGCACTAGCAATATCCTTGTTCTCAAAAAGTAAATATAAACAATGTTCAGATTGTCAAACGTGTTATGACCCTGAAATCGCTGATAGTTTGGGTAACAAATGTGTTTGATTTGATGTACATTTGTACTGCTATGAATACAAGACCCAAGTATTCAAAAAGTGTGATAAAGTGATATTAGGTAACACGTGCACAAGAGATTTGGCAAAGTTTTATTTAAAAAAATCTTAATTACAAAAAGTATACATGTACCGGTACTTGTAGGCCTACACTGTATAGTCTATACATTTGTACCATGGAGAAATAAAACGCATGTTTGTACACATGCATACTCATACACTGTACGGTACATTCGGTCAGCATTGAGCCATGACATTAAAAAAGTGCTTAAGGTCATAAAAATCATTATCCATCTTCAACAGATGCAGAAGATGTTTGCTCAGTTGCAGCAGTGAAAACTCTGATATGTACACTATGCACAGTTACTGTGCACACAAACCGGTATGTGAGTTTTACTATACTCATGAGGACCTGATCATTTCCTTCTTTTGTTTCCTATTGTTTGTACTTCAATTTTTTCTCGACAGCTCTGATAAGGTTTGTACACAAAATTCTCCTTAGGACATGGAAGTATCCACGACGAGACCCGATAGAAAGCGCCTGCTGAATGGTCAGAGTGTCGAGGTTAAGACGCAACTTTTTTTGCATAATTAATCGCTGAATCAGCTCACATATTTTACTACACAGACTAGGGGATGGAAGGATGGTCCCTACATGCAACTTCACATAAAAATTTCTGTTCAGTACATTTCATCTCATAGAATGTAAATGCCTAGATTAAATATAAAATAACGAAATACACTCAATCAAAAAAGAAAGTCCCCCCTTCCAAGACTTTTTTGTCCAACTCAAAAGCTACTGAGCACCTCTCGCTCAAATAACGACTAATCAGTACAGAAATTCCTTATCAATCCAGCCATACCCCGGTACTCTCTATTTGGCCCAAAACAGTGATAATGTGTACAAATTTATGCACTTTATGACAAATGATACCGAAAACAGTTGCACTTTTGTATACATACATACGTGCAAGTTGTGGTTCACACTCACCTTGCATGCATACAAAAGTGCAACTTTTTTTTGGTACCGGTACCATTTGTCATAAATTGCATAATTTTGTACACATTATCACTGTTTTGGGCCAAACAAAGAGTATGGCTGGACTGCTAAGGAATTTCTGTACTGATCAGTCGTATTTTGAGCAAGATGTGCCCAGTAGTTTTTGAGTTAGACAAACAAGTATTGAGGGGGACTTTCTTATTTTGGTTGAGTGTATTTAATTGCATGGCTGACCTGAATTAAGTATCAAACAGACCAGATATCACTTGAAAATTGATGCCCGCCTACATGTATTAGGGAGTCCCTTTTTATTTCTTTGGTTCTCATTTCCGACCGACCCTATTTTGGGCTCCCAACCCAAGAAAAAAACCCAACTTATTTTTAAAAAAAATATGAGAACCATAGAAATAAAACGGGATGCCCACATACCAGTACATGTACAAGCTCTAGATGGGTATTCATGTAAAATCAATGTTTCTCTTTGGCTGAGCAATGATTTGTGAGGCTTGTCAATAGCATGCATGCAAGTACATGTACATAGGTTTTTTATTCCGGTTGTCAGCGAGTCAGTGACATAAATCCCAAGGTACCAGTATGATGTTTACTGTGCTTGCAATGTAGTGAATGTACAAACTGAATGTGTACTGTGAACGAATGACCAATTTTAAAGAACTTTTTATAACTTTTAAGTGAAACTTATAGCTCTAGATGGGTATTCATGTAAAATCAATGTTTCTCTTTGGCTGAGCAATGATTTGTGAGGCTTGTCAATGGTAGCATGCATGCACATTAGGTTTTTTTTCATTCCAGTTGTCAGCAACATAAATCCCAAGGTACCGGTATGATGTTTACTGTGCTTGCAATGTAGTGAATGTATGTGTACTGGGAAAGAATGACCCACTTTAAGAACTTTTTAATATGTGAAACTCTCCCAGACTACAGTGCTGATACTACATGTACATTATACTGGTACCGGTATGTATAGATCTGGAATTTTTTTTTTTTTTTTCCAAAACCAGAGCCAAAATACATGTAAGAAAGCACACTTTTGCAATTTGAATTGGATTGTTAAAAGATTAAAGCCACTAGTTTTCAAAAATATTCACTCTCATTATTATTAATAGTAATCGGAAAACTAGACATACCTGTACATGTATATGGTGATTGGTTCACAAAGATGAACACTACATGGTCAAGACCTCAACGTTATACCAACGTAAAAAATATCACAACACAAAGATTGGTCATGAAATTGTACAGTTGTAGAAAAACTTAAAGGTAACATTTGCAATCATCAAGAAAAAAAGTAGTAAATTATCATGAAATACCGGTACCTTACTTGCCTGTAAGTGAATAATAATCTCAAGCGTCCTGTGCAAACATTGGCACCTGGTGTGCTGTCCTTTTCAACAAAAGTGAAATTTGTGTACATGTATCAATTTCCATTTTTTATCGATGGTTGGCCAACCATAGTTTGAAAAAACAAATACGTGTACTGCAAATTTAGTTTGTCCATTTTTTTTGCAATCGGTTATACATCCGTGAACGGGTGCAAGCCAGCTAGTCTGGTTTCCTGATCCGACAATTTTCGACGCCTATAAATTGTTCTGTTTCCTCTGAAGAAGGGTCATGGAACCAGACTACACCAAAAGTATTTTCTTCTTGGTTTTTCCAGCATCTATGAACACAAAACTTTACTGGTCAGTGTAACAACATTTGCTATAAAATACTAACCCCCAAATCAATCAATCAAGAATATTTAAAATATTGACCCCCAAATAAGAAGTATGCATCGGAACCTTCCAGATTTTGGAATCAGGTACCTGAAGCCACAGCTGTAACCAACTTTACCAATTACTAAATTAACTTCTCAGACAATGAAAAAGAAAGAATTTGAATGTCAATTTTGGGGAATTTTCAAAATGACAACCAGGATACATGAAAAATCCAAAACAGAGTTCACATTTATGAGCATTTGACGTGCATCAGATGAGTGAAAGTTGCAGTTTACACTACGAAGACAACTTCAGACAAATTCCGGGATTTGAATTTTGGGGTTTGGTTTCTTTTACGGGTACCGGGGTACCCGTGTTTTACTTCAATAAGGCACCCGGTTGCCGTACTACCCATAAATGCACACCACTACCCCAAATCCATCCATTTCTGAAATTACAGCAAAAGCAAAATGTTACCTTTAAGTGCATCCAGTGATCAAGTGGGTATTTATTATACTGGTGATGGTCTTCTGATAAACTGCAGTCCAAAGTAAGAGTCTTAGAAATGGAGGAAACGCAACACACTGTCACTGCATGAACTTTTCCCTGACAGCCCTCCCATAAACTGCAGCAGTAGGCCCTAAAGGTCCGATTACTCAGTCTTTCCAGCAGATCTTGCTGACGGCTTAAATACCCGAGGCCTGAGTTATTGCCCAATCAAGTACATGAAGAGGGCAGACGTGCCCAGACTTGACACAGAAAAGTGAGAGGACAATCGTAATTCTTGCTCCAAGAGCCAGTATTAAACTTGAGGGTTATTGGTTGCCAAGCACAATAGGTCTTGTGGGACCATGAGAAGTGAACGATTGCAGAACTGTAACGTGTAGGCATGCTTTTGGGACGGGCTCACTTGTCGCTGGGTAGGAGATTTCACTTCCCAACTACAGTGACAAACAAAAATGCTCCCTCGGTAGTCCGCCTCCGAATTATTATTACCAATTGCTAATTCACGCATTAATGTGTGAACGGAGTGCATGAAGTATTCGTAGTCTGGTGCTCTTATAAAAAATTCTATGAAACTATGAGTGGAGTGCCATGGCCTCATGGTCTTCTGCAGGTCATGGGTTCGAGTCCAGCCTGGGGTTATGGTGTGTGTGCCCTTGGGAAAGGCACTTTGTCACTCATTGCTTCTCTCCACCCTGGAGTAAAGGGGTACCTGTGAGGGCAGAGATGGTTATTGTGGTTGATTTTAGCTGCTTTGCGGCCGGCAAAATGGCATCATCGATCTGTATATACTCCCAGGGAGATGATGATCGTCTTTCATTGAATGTTTCATTGGCCAAATGAGCAGGGTAATAATGATGTAATTGGATTTTTTTTTAATCTGGGTAGAGTCCTTAAAAGCTTAGTCCAAACCAAGGTCGGATTTTAGTTTTACCCATGTACAACACTAGGCCAGGTACAAGCCATGTTGGATTTCTAGTTTGTGTGAAAGAAGTTCCCAAAATGTCTGTGTCGGACCCAGGGCAATACCCAGGGTATTTTAATCTACGGTATGTTGTGCAATATATCCTTTTCTGTCCTCTCTATTTTAAAGTTTTATATCCAATGTACATGTATTATATAGATATTTTTTTAATATGAATGTTTTACATAATGTACGTGTCCTTTGCCAGCATGAGGGCTGGCAAGTCTAAGGACTACAGTGATTTTCTACACTTTTGTCAGCCCTTGCCCATGCAGGCTTAGGTTTAATTTGTCCTGATATTTTGTCTTTCTTGTATTATCTGTGTTCCTTCCCAGTTGTTTTTCTTGTATTTTTAGTGTACTGTATTTTTCTCTGTTATTATATATTTTGTGTTGTTTTTATCAATTGGCAAAATAAAAATGAATGAAAACACAGAGTTTTTTGATATTGTGAAAGACCCTTCAGCATCAAAAATGATTCATGCTTTTGCTGCTCAGCCTTAGGCAATCCAAATGTCCCATCCCTGAATCACTTGGCCTTGGAATTCCTTCAACTCTGACATTTTGTGACATGTGTCTCAGCACCATGGAAGGAACAATTAAGTTGACTGAAGACAGGAACTATATCTGTTGCCAACTAGCTGTTAATTGGTGCAAGAGATAAGTCTGGTAGTCATTGCAATTGTTTAACCATACACTCATTAGGAATGATGGTATTTGACCCCGTAAGGTCAACTATGCAACCTGAAGGCAGGATGCAATTCTATGCATTCCATTTCATTTATTCATAATCAAACATACAGTACATTTTTTTCAAATTAACCTTACCTCTCCTTAATACTCCAGAAAAAGGGTTTTAGAAGATTTGTATAGTATGACTGAGGAAGGTACAGCCTACTGGTAACTATATGTACTTTTACTTTATGCAGGTGTAGGCTTCATACCCCTTGAATTTAAAGTTTAAAGTAACAAGTACATAGGTACATCCATTGGATCCTGCACAGTGGAAGATTTTGGAGGATTAAGGATAATGAAAAGGCATTTTGAGGGAATTACAATTTATTAAGGTTAATCAAGCCCGCTAAAACACATTTTTGCCAGGGGGTACTTTCTTTGGTTTATTCCAGCAATACCACCTTCACTGACAGTATTAACAATGTGTATGTGCCATGTACTGGTAGGTTTACTGAAATTTCAAATGCACTGCACTTGATGGGCATTACTTTAATGCAGCCCGGACTGGATCATTGAATAATGAAGTCTTTTCAAACATCTTGACAATACTCTGAAAAATATGTGCAATATAATACAGACATGATGTTCAAGTACATAATAATGTGCAAAGTGGCCTTGTATCAAAGCTTAAAAAAACCCCACAATACTGCCCTCTTGTGGTCACCCAAAATAAACCTTGGTACCGGTATGCATACATATCATGTACAATGTACATGTATGTATACACATGTGTGTGTAATTGTGTCCGTTATTCTGCTGTCTATAGTCACAATGAATTTCATCTAATGCTGGTCGACTGGTCCATTGAAATCAACACAAATAATTGAATATCACTTTCAATTTGAGGGATGTATTTAAAACCCAAAACAAACTCTTCATTTTATGAGTTTCAATCCTAATTGTTGAGTTAAGTTAAAATAAGTTTTTCAATAAGTGGGTCTTCATAAATGCAACTTGAGTTTGACTCTAGTTCTCCAACACAGATTGTGACATAAAAAGAGGGAAAAATTTGACACTAATTGTTGCATATTTAAGGAGTCAAGCGCAACAGACCGACTTTAAATTGTATCGCGTGCGTACATTGTCCTCTTGAAATGAAATGCAGACTTGATTGAGGGTTTAATTAGTGCGGTGCGACAATACAGCTTGGTTGTTAATTAAGAGATGCGGGGATATGTGTACGCGAAGGTGTCAAACTTACCTTGTACTCGCATTTCCTATGGCAGCCAAACTTGCACACTGTTAAATGAAAACAGAACAAGCAAACCACCTCTGAATGAATTCAATGAAAATATAAGTATTGAAGTTTGTCATTAAAACTACAGTACATATAAATTTACAATGCATATTGCTGGTTTGGAGTGAACAAAATTCTTGCTTTGAACTTTCCCGAGGGGAAAAATGGGAACCTACTGATATTAAATAATCTGACATGCTTCGGCACATTCTGCTTCATCTTTTTGGACTTTCTTCATCTTTTTAAATGTTTGACTGTCTGTGACTGATCAAACAAAAGGAGGGTGTTTCTGGACCCTTCTTGTTTTATGCTACAAAACACTGATATCATCTGAGGTACATGTAAATACTTCCCTTTTGTCTGGTCAATTTTCTTTTGTGTGTGTGTGCTTCTACACATGTATGTTGATTACATGTACCAGTTAGTACCGTACATGACAGCAACTCAATGAGCAAACATTATCACAAACATTTTTTTTTTGTTAATTAATTTGTACCACTGAAAATTGTTATTTTCAAACAGGTCAGGCGCATGGAATTTGTACTACAAGGTACATGGACACTATAAATGTTGTGCAAACCTGACCCGAAACCAAAACCGACCGGACCCCAAACCAACTTCGGGTTAGGTCGGGTCGTTTTGTCCATCATTTTAGTAAGGTCAGGTCGGTTTTGTTTTGCGTTTGCAGTTGATTAAAGCAATCTTGTGAAAAACCCGAAATATAACGAAAAAAAACTGAAACAGTTCAGAAACTCAAGCGATGCAATTACCGTATTGCAGAGTTGAAGTACTGTGACCGATACAACGTCAATCTACCGCGCGAAGGTGCAGGTGACCAGTTTGCAATCTATCACGCACAGTCTATAACATGTAGGCCTACCAGTACATGTACATGTAGGTAAATAAAGTTAAATGAGTCTTCACCGTACCTTACAGTATGATTCTTTACCGAGAGATGACGTTTTTCACACAACGCAGGTAAGTTCAGGCACAAAAAGCAAACACAGCTGCACAAGCCAGATATTCTGGGTTTTTTCCAGGTGGGATCGGTTTCGGGTGGGTTTGATTTCGGGTGGGTTCGGTCGTTTCGGGTGGGTTCGGTTTCGGTCGTTTTTTGATTGATTTTTGTCAGGGCGGGTCACGTAGGGTTTGGGAAGTTCAGATCGGTTTTGGCTCTGATTCGGTTTTTATCTAAAAAGTTTGGGGTCGGTTTGGCCTGGTCAACCCCACCCGATGCACGACATCAATCTCCACAGGAGCATAAAATTCATTCCATTCCCCATTAATACTGGTATTGACTACCTAATTCATTGCCTCTCAAAGAGCATTCATGAGTGCTCACAATGAGCCATCTATTGATCATGCATGGAGTCTAACAATTTAACCCATTGGTCCCTGTAGTGTCCCAATCAACCCATCCTATAATTCCTATTACTCCTTGTACCACCCCAAACCGCCCAAGCGATCAGAGATACGTGTACATGTACCGTACAAGTATACAATGTAATACAATGTAGTACAGGTGCTAATGAGTTAACTTGACATGCAAGGAGTTACGTGAGTTACATGTACCTACCTCTGCAGCCCCTGCCTTCAGTCCATATCACCTCATTGCAGACTTGGCAAGTAGTCGGATGTTTGAACACCTTGGTCTTGAACGTATGGCTCTTAGAATCTATAAGGTCCTGGGGCTGAAACGACAAACAAAAGAACACTCATAAACATGTTGTTGTCAACAGTTATATGTACAACTCAGGCCTGGGCAATCAGACTACATACATGTGTACAATGAAGCAAAGTAACAGTGTATGGACTCCGTGCACAACCCTTTTCACACTAGACAAAGCTTGGGGTTGACGCAGGGTTGAAAACATGTAACAGTTCAAACTTGAAAATTGTCAACCCAGCGACAACCTGCATCATGAACTCAACCCTGCTCCAGACCAGGGTTGGGATTTTCAACCTGGGTTGAAACTCTCACCAAGGTTCAAAACAGTACCTGCACTGGCTGCAGTAACCGAGCGAAATCAGTTTGGTATGTGACTATGCGCAAAACAAGTGTGAAACGATGCAGGGTTGAATGCAGGGTTGAAAAATAAAAAACTCAACCCATTCAGGGTTCAGTTCACCTCAGGTTGAGAGGCTTTAGTGTGAAAAGGCCTTTACTACTGCTCAGCCAGCAGCACACACCAGTTATCGGAGTAAGAAGGCACGTGTGGGATATTCACACAAAGGGGACACAAAAGTACCCCAGAATGTAGTCGTTGTTTGAACGTACCACACCATGCCCACAAGGGAAATTCAAATTCTAAAGAAGAGGGGCAACAGGAGAAAAAAAAAGTACATGTACATGGGTACCTCACAAACCCCAAGTTAAGGCTCATTGTTTGATAATGGTGGTGTATGCTACACACAGCAAAATATTGCAAACCATTTCTGCAGATACTGAGAATAAAATGGTAAAATCTTTGACGATTTGAGAGATCAATGTACAAAAAAAGTAAGGTTACTGAGAAATTGCCTAATTGTAAAAAGTAAGTTGTATTTTTGTATGGTTTGTCTACTTTTATGGATATTACATGTAATTACATAAATATTTAGCAACAGACCAATTA